CCGGTCTCGGTGCAACTTTCAACCAAGAACTGCTCGAGGAAGCAGGAAAGAAGATGGGTGAAGAGGCCATTGGAAAGAGTGCACATGTCATTCTCGGCCCTACCATCAATATGCAACGTTCGCCTCTTGGAGGACGTGGTTTTGAGTCTATCGGCGAAGACCCCTTTCTCGCTGGTCTAGGTGCCGCTGCGCTTGTTCGTGGAATCCAGAGCACAGGTGTGCAATCGACAATCAAACATTTCGTATGCAACGATCAAGAACACAAGCGCATGAGCGTTCAAGCTATTATCACAGAGCGTGCACTCCGTGAGATCTACGCTCTACCATTCCAGCTGGTTGTACGAGACTCACAGCCCGGTGCATTCATGACATCTTACAACGGTGTCAACGGAACTGCTTGCAGCGAGAATAAGAAGCTACTGAACGACATGCTACGCGAAGAATGGGGCTGGGAGGGTCTGATCATGAGTGATTGGTACGGCACATACAGCGTCACGGACGCCATCAAAGCCGGTCTTGATCTTGAGATGCCTGGTCCTACTCGCTGGCGAGGCGATGTTCTTAACTTTGCTGCCGCTTGTGAGAAGGTTTGGGGACATGTTATTGATGACCGCGCTCGAGAGGTCCTCAAGTTTGTCAAGAAGTGCGCTGCTTCCGGTGTCAAGGAGAATGGACCCGAGAAGACGCTCGATACGCCCGAGACTGCAGCTCTTCTTCGCAAGATCGGAAACGAGAGTATTGTTCTCCTAAAGAACGACAAGAACCTGCTTCCTTTGGCAAAGGATAAGAAGACTTTAGTTATTGGACCTAACGCCAAGGTTGCGACTTATCATGGCGGTGGCTCTGCCTCTCTGGCTGCCTACTACGCCGTAACCCCGTACGATGGCATCGCCGAAAAGCTCGGTAGCCAGCCTGCTTATACCATCGGCGCATACACACATAAGCTGAGCCCTCTACTGGGAAGCCAGACAAAGGGTGAAGACGGAAAGACTGGTATGAGCTGGAAAGTGTACAACAAGCCACCCAGCGACTCATCCCGCAAGCCTGTTGACGAGCTGTGGCTGACCAAGTCGGAAATGCACCTCGTTGACTACTACAACTCTGAGCTAGAAGACCTCTGGTTCGCAAACCTTGAAGGTATTCTAGAAGTCGAGGAAGATTCCACGTACGAGTTTGGCGTCATCGTTTGCGGAACTGCCAACCTCTACGTCAACGACGAGCTTGTCGTCAACAACTCAACCAAGCAAATCGCCGGCGACGCATTCTTCGGCACAGCAACCCGCGAAGAGCTCGGACGCAAGGACCTCAAGAAGGGCGAGAAGTATAAGATCAGAATTGAGTTTGCCTCGGCCCCAAGCTTCACCCTCAAGCTCGACAACCCCGTTGTAGGCCACGGATCTCTTCGCGTCGGCGCATCCAAGGTCATCGATGCGAAGCAGGAAATCGAGCGATCTGTCACTCTCGCTAAGGAACATGATCAGGTCATTATTTGTGCTGGTCTCAACTCAGACTGGGAGACGGAGGGCTCCGACCGTGAGAGCATGAAGCTTCCCGGAGCTCTGGATGAGCTCATTTCCGCTGTCGCAGCCGCAAATCCACAGACGGCTGTTGTTATGCAGACTGGTACACCGGAAGAGATGCCCTGGCTGGAAGAAGTCCCTGCTGTGATTCAGGCGTGGTATGGTGGTAATGAGACGGGTAACTGCATTGCTGACATTCTCTTTGGTGATGCCAACCCATCTGGCAAGCTATCATTGAGCTTTCCCAAGCGCTTAACCGATGTCCCAGCATTTCTTAATTTCCGAACTGAAGCTGGGCGAACACTTTACGGTGAGGACGTGTATATGGGATACAGATACTACGAGTTTGCCGACCGTGAGGTCAACTTTCCCTTCGGCCACGGTCTCTCATACACCAGCTTTGCCTTCTCAGACCTCAACTTATCTTCTAAGGATGGAAAGCTCAGCGCAACTGTTGCTGTCAAAAACACAGGCTCTGTGCGTGGTGCAGAAGTTGCGCAGCTTTACGTGCGCCCGAAGCAAGCTGCCAAGGTGAACCGTCCCGTCAAGGAGCTCAAGGGTTTCGCAAAGGTTGAGCTCGATGCTGGCGAGTCCAAGACAGTGACTATCTCTGAGTTGGAGAAGTACGCAGCTGCTTACTTTGATGAGGAGAAGGATAAGTGGTGTGTTGAGGCTGGTGAGTACGAGGTTATTATCAGTGATAGCAGTGCTGTGAGCGACAAGGCACTCAAGGATTCTTTCAAGGTTGATGAGACATACTGGTGGTCTGGTATTTGATGTATGAACTATAGAAAATCGAGCAGTGCTTCCGCCCAATATGACCTGATGATACACTCATTCACTTTGCAAAACAGCATCTTGTGCTTTTCGTATTAACTATCTACGGAGTCGTATGTGATAAGATCATATCCTCTCCCTTTCTATGGATTGCAGTTCAATTACCTAGAGCTCTCCCCATCACCACAAAGTGTCTGGTCATCGCCAGGACATGCCCACGGCTCCGCATCACCAAGTCTCTGCGCCGTCAACCCAGCATTGCCCGGATCCTTCATCCCGGCATTTTGCTGCCACCTATAAGACACCTTTCGTAATCTCTCACTCTCAGTAGATGTAAGTCGGAGATACAACTCCGCAGCGATGATGTGAATGAGCAAAGCAAGCCAGGCACTCGCCCCAAAAGCACTATTGAGACTGGCTGCAATCTCGTCGGGGCGTCCACCCGATGTTCCTTTGATGATAACACGCTGGTCGGGAGTTTCACCTGTGTAGAATCCAATGCAGTCGGGGTACAGTGCTTCCACGGCAGGTTTGTTGTGATAGAACATTGAGTCTAAGACTGCGCATGGGGTAGTTGTATAGTAAGGATCCATGTGGCTGGTAATCTGGGCCATTATAATTCCTATGATTCTCATTGTGACAACATGGGCGGCCTTGAAAGTGTTAGCAAGCCAATTATCACCGTTCTGTATGAGGACTCACGATAATCCACCCTCGGATCATCCACGCTCGATGTTGCTCAAGTTGAAGTTTCTTGATGTTAATGTAAGCCAACAACATGCATGCAACAAACATGATGCTCGCAGCACCAGTAACAGTCTGCATTTCCAACGTGCCACCAAAAGTGTGTCTGGAAATCATAAAGACTCCAATCATTCCAACTGTTGACAGTAGGAGAACAATGTAGCCATTTATTCGATGAACGATAAGAGCTCTATGTCGAATAACTGGTAGAAACTGAAAGACCACCAAAACAGCTGCCGGGAGAATGCCAGCAAGATGCATGATGATACCAGCCTTGCCAACACCACGACGGTAATAGTAACATTCTCCAGGAACAGCTCCCCTTGAACCGTACGGTCTGTTCGTAGGTGGCTCACTAGGACATAGTCGTCCGTCAAAATCGAGATATATAAAACGAGAAAGTGTAAAAGCAAGAAAAGCTCCGCCGAAGAGAAACCAAAGAACAAAGTTGTACCCCTTGGCGAAGCCAAAGGTACGGTATATACGCTGTAAACGAGTAGTATAAGGTAAGATTTGAGGCTTGTTAGGGTCCATGCTGTCGAAGTTATATATATATATATGTGTGTGTGTGTGTAAGAATGAGTGTATAGGTAGATAGATGCTTTGTGTCCAACCTACCCTCGCGCCGGTATTTATGACCAAACACGAAGGTCGTCGTGTCTTCTCTGGCAACATTCATAGATTCACTATCGATATCTACCGTGCACTGGCTCAATGTATCCCCAATCTACAGTGTTTCTGATCAATCATTGAGGATCGACGGCGCCATTGTGTGATGAGTTACTGCTGGTTTCTCACACAAACGCTGCACAATAGATCGCCATCAAGCCACTGATACACATGAAGGTATACGTTAGATTCGTCAATACGTTCATTGGATGGAAGTAGACGTCTGTGTTGGTTCTCTCTTGAGCTTGTGCATCTTCGGGTATTCGACCATGGCCAATCCTTCAACTGGGCACGATGTCGTATGGCAGACCACACAGAAAGAGTAGTTGATTAATAAGAACTCTGAATGAACGGCTCGTATGATTCGCTACCGACGAGAAGAGTGACGCAGCAAGGCTAAACAGTGTCTCACGCATTGTCTACATGTGTACGCGAGATGAAAGCTTAGGCTAATATGTGAGTCAACAGTAGCACAGGGCCCAATTGATTGGGATCTATCACTGTAAACCGTACCAGAGACAATTCAATGCCATATTGGGAACAGAGATTCTCGATTAGCCTCAGCAGTGAGGCCGTTAGTGGTACATAAGCTTGAGGATCAGTGACTACCGCCCAGCAGGAGCACCAAATTCTTATTTATTGACGCTGACCGTCGTTGGAGCTCGATATATGGCTACAATTATGTCAATGGCTTGAACCATTACCGTTGGTAGGTTCCACCAACTGGAAATACCAACAAACACCTTGATCACCACCGTAAGCGAGGTAGGTCTCTGACAGAAACCTTCATGAAATATGAGTGACTATTTCTTGGACATTGAGCCTCGGCGACGTTATCCCTTTGTCCAACAACTTGTCGTTTACGCATACATGGAGCGTTTCGAAGACTGACTGGCGGCAGTTCCCCTGATCGTAGCCGCTGACTGTGCACTCTCGGATGCCGCAACTCAAGCCCAACACCCACTCACTGCCCCAAACGTTCACCAGCGGTCTTGAACCGATGGCAGAGATAGAAAATCACCCAAGTTATAGTTCACTTCTCTCATTGTTGGGTAGACTCTGCTTGGCCTCGCTCTTCCGCATGTAATGGGCACACCTCCCCGCGAGGCACCTGGCATCGCTTCAGATAGGCGATGACCAGCAGAACCGGACGACGGGATGTGCGAGATAGTGGAGAAGTGACCTATTTTGCGGTATGTGGCTCGCATTTCTCACAGCTCCATGCTGTGAGCAAACTCGATTATTGCTCGTCATCAGACTGTCTCATCGTAACCAAATCTCAATCCGTGTTCATGACGGAAACACTTTATCATCAGCAAGAAACTGATCAACACGTCTCTTCCGCCCTTGTGCGCCCATCTCAGCCAAACTGAATTCCTTCGCTTCACCATTCGGAGCTTCCTCAGGCAGCGCATGCACACGGCCACCAACTCGAGCCAACAAGAATCTCATTCTCTCAAGCTCCTTCTCAACTGGTCCATTTCGAGTGAGTAAGTTCTCTTGAATACCGGCACCATTATCATCTGTTTGAAGTGGCTCAACGATAGATTGAAGGCGTTTTAAGCGTGCAACTTGCTCTCGAAGTTGCTTGCGTTGGTCGTTGAGTTCAGCAAGCTGCTGAACAGCGTCTGCATACCGCTTAGCTTCCATGGGATGATCGTTGATGTCTTTTTCTGAGTGCCATGAGACGGGTAAAGCTTCTATAGCTTCATTTTCGGCTAGAAAGGTCAGTCTGAAGTTCTCATATCTGATGCCAAAGTACTCACTCAAGTCAAGCTCTCTGCCAATGCCGCCCTCAGTATCAGTAGGTCCTCCCACCTTCCGCTCAGCATCCTTAGTATAAACATCGTTGATCTGCTCAGCAATACTGCGACTAGCCTGCGGAGGGTAGACGCGGCGACAATGTTGCTGGATAGTGTGGTTGAGATTATATAAGACTTCTTGAACGACGCGCTCGGGGATAGCCTCATCTGACGCGTCGTTGGTTTCTTGCCATGAGCGGGATGGAGCGAGGGGCTGAGAAAGAAGTGTTGTTTGGCTGGTGATGAAAGCCTGCTTCAATGACGGGATCGTCGGTGCTGCTGTACGAGATGACATGATGATATTTCTGTGATATCAATTATGAAAGTGGTATCGACAGCTACTGTTGATGAATTAGGTATTGATGTTGATGATGCTTGGCCAATCACGTGTAAAGAGTTGCATGTTCAGAAGGGTGTCCACTAAGATCAGCGCAGATATAGCGGGTGAACCCCTAAAACGCCTCCCACCCAGCGGTTGGTTTCTTCGATCTGACAAGGAGTCTTCAACATAATACTCTCAACATGAATCTAGTTTCAATGCTCTCAAAGGTGTTTTCATGAAAGCAATAAGAAGAAACATTAACCTCACGAAATCAGTCGTTGTTTGTCTGCCAAGACGATTAAACCCGTATGTGGATTAGGGTCAGTCGTGAAGCAAACATTGAAAGCTATCTGCATTATGCATGATTTGCTTGGTTGCTCGGACGAAAGGCCTGTATTTATGAGATCTGCATCTGAGTAACAATGGTATTTCCAACTGTGTTAATTTCAGACGTATAAATTTAAAGAGCAGCATGGCTTCTTATATCTTTATATAGGGCCAGTGTCTTAATCACGCCGACAACAGCACCAGGTCTTCACACCAACCGACTTCTCTCACTGACATCGAAATCCCATCAACAATATACTATCACCGCTAATTAGTATGTGCTACCTCGGAATCTAACCGCATACTCTCCAGTCCAAGCATAATAAACAATAAACGCCAAAGGCCAGCCAAGAGTAACACATCGGAGATCTCGAGTCTCCAATCCCCCGCCTGCCGTACAACAAGTAGTCCACGATGCCCAGACCAACGAAGCACATTCTCGTCAAGCCATACTCCATCGTCTCGCTTTCGCTAACACAGTATCGCAAGTACAAGCAGTCACCACCACCACCACCGCCACCACCACCACAGCATCCCCTTAAACGCCAACATCCAAACTAACCATCTTTCTCTCGCCGTCTTCAGCCTCTGATAGGCCCATCAAGCGACAAGCGGAACAATACCGCACATGAAAAACACGCGAAGGCGCACCAAGTATTGAACCACTAGTGAGTAACTCAACTTAACAACCTCAGCTTCTCGGGTGCCGACATTACAAAAATGAGTTGTTTTGGGGGTGATTTCGTAGATGCGGAAGTGTCGGGGCTTGGTATTTCGCTTTCTAGCGCGGAATCCGGTTTCGTTTTCCGTATAGTAGCGTCATTGACTTTACACAGCCCATGGGGTGGATTGGGAGTACAACGGTTTTTTTTTTGTACTTAATAAGTTGAGATCCATATTAAAAACACCCTATTATGATGATGCATTTGTAAGGAGCTGTGTTTTGTTGTTTGGTGTTGAATGACGATAGTGAAGCTTTAAAGTGGTTATCTGCACTTGCAGGTTCATCGTCAGTGCTAGCACTGCATTGCGTTGCAAACATACACAGACAAAAGGGTGCACTGTGTTGTGTTTGTATAGAGCCAACGCTTTGTTTCTCACTCGGCACATGAGCTGAATTTCATTTCACGCTTGTTTTATAGATATATCTTTAGAGCATGCCTCTTGTTCTTGCATCTTTGTTTCTCAGCACCCAAACAATATCGCCGCAAACGAAACGACACCTTTGAACGAGTGTATATTTCTCACTTAAACACTTTTACAAATAAGCTTTAATATGGCGCTCAACGGCCCGGGTGTCTATCACCGCACCCGAGAGCATGAACAAGAAGACGCCTCAAACATCACCAAGAACATCCTCGCCGAATCATGGAAATCATGGCCCAACGAAGCCGCTGTAAGCCCCCCTCTCTCCCCTCTCGCACCCAAAACTAACATCTCCAGTTCGACCGTCTTGAAGAACATCGCGGCCCTCTTCGACTAACTCTCAAAGGCACCATCCCCTCATGGGCAGCTGGTTCTCTCTACCGCACTGGTCCCGGCCAAAGTCGCGTTGAAGATACGGCCCGCGGCACACACTTCACAACACACTGGTTCGACGGCTTCGCACAAACTCATCGCTTTGACATCGTCCCCTCTGAGGGTGGCCAGACACAAGTGTGGTACTCGTCGAGACGACAGGCTGATGAGTGGATTGCTGATGTAAAGAAGAAAGGGTGGCGATCTGGCATGACGTTTGGGCAAAAGGCGGATCCGTGTGTTGGGATCTTTGCGAAAATGATGACTGTTTTTGAGCCCAAGTTGGGGAATCATAATGTTGCGCTTCTGGCGAATGTTCCTGGTGTGCCGGAGGATGAGAAGGCGGAGGAGTCGAACGGAGTGACGGGCCCTCTTGGACATCGTGTGAACACGGGTAATCTGTTTGTTTCGACAGATTACACTGGAATACGCCGCATCGATCCTTCAACACTTGAACCATTAGGCGAGACCACGCAATATGATCTTCACCCTTCTCTCAGCGGACCTTGCTCCTGCTCCCACGCCCAGCGCGATCCCGATACTGGAGACCTATTCAACTTCAACCTAGCATTTGGCCGAGTTCCAACATATCGCATATTTCGAGTGGACGCTGCTTCAGGAGAGACAGAGATCCTCGCCACAATCTCCGATCTCAACGTCCCGCCCGCATATATGCACAGTTTCTTCCTCACAGAGAACCACGTTGTGATATGCATACCAGCATCGCACTACGCGTGGAGAGGACTCAAGACACAATGGGAGGGAAACATCATTGATTCAATGAAGCCATTCGATAAGGAGAGGAAATGCAAGTGGCTAGTTGTTGATCGACGACATGGAAAGGGGCTTGTCACAACGTTCTCAACACCCGCTGGCTTCTTCTTCCATAGCATCAATGCTTTCGAGGAAAAGTCCGAAGATGAAGATGGAAATGAACATACAGATCTCTTCTTTGATATGGCTAAGTATGAGAACATGGACATCATCAAGGGCTTCTACTACGATGTTCTCATGGATCGCAACGACTCTACGAAGAAATATTGGTTCGAGAATGATCGGTACAAGAATTGTGCGCCGACTCTCACAAGATACCGCTTTAGAATACCCCCGACACCAACACCAGATACAACAGTCTCCTCCAGCGCAGAAGAAGTCCTCGCTATTCCAAGTCCACACGCCGGCGAGCTCCCAAGTATTCACCCCCTACGCAACGGCAAACCCTATCGCTACGTCTACAGCGCCTCACTGCGCGGTCTAACAACCTCCGTCGACGCGCTGGTCAAGACAGACTTAAAAACCAGCGAAGCACTCATCTGGACAGGACCTGAAGGACATACCCCTGGCGAGCCCGTGTTTGTGCCGAGACCTGGAGCGGAGGAAGAAGATGATGGGATTATCTTCAGTCTGGTGGTTGATGGAGTTAATGAGACGGCGTATATACTGTGCTTGAATGGCAAGACGATGGAGGAGATGGGGAGGGCAGAGGCTGATTTTGCGATTGGGCAGGGATTTCATGGTATTCATTTGCCAGCTGCTTAGTCTAGAGGGTTGTGAATTGAGCGACGCATGCATATAGATAGACATGGTTTTACCAAAGCGGACGTTTAATTTGGCGAGATTGATAGAAAGAAACTAATTCCCCAGTTGAGATTGAAGAATCATAGCATCTCTAGAATGAATGTTGGTGTCTGTCGTAAATCTCGTGTTAACCTTGATCGCCAATCCGGCTTACACCACTCATCAACAGCCCCTAAAATCCTCACCACTCCAAATTCGATACGAAACCCCCACGGGTACTCAATTTCCCTCTCCCAAACCCTCGGAACCCAATATCTCAATTCGATCGAGCTACCCCGCGAAATGCAACGGTGGCTTTACTTTTTTGGTGGAAAATGGCCTGATGCTGACGCGCTACGGAGGATTTTTGATCAGAACTGGACCTTGCATGAGTTGCAGCAGGGATAGGGAGATCTCTTGTCTAAATTTTAGTGTTATGTGTATGCATATGATGCAGTATAGCATAGGTAAAGTATGAGAGATTGTTATTCAATGTGAATTGGTGTATAGAGTCGCTTTACGAGGAGATTGTCCCTGCGAACATGCTTGGTGGGGTGATTGATAAGGAGTTTTGAGAGCGAATCACGAGATTTGGACTAGGATCGCCTGCTACCGATTGGATGGAGTCTGAGAAATTGGCTTTATGGAGAGATCATCTGGAGATGTGCATGATGTTGGTCAGTCAGCCATGGAGCGCTCACCGAACTCATGATGATCACCAGGCTCTAAGAATTAGGTTATCTAACGCAAGAAGCGAGGGACCTCGGTGACCGAGGCATGGACCCTGAAAATTGTACGATTGATAACACGAGCCGCATCACAACAGCAGCTCATCTCCGCGGAGGCCGCAAGTCATCACCTCATCAGATAACAGCTTATCAATCTTCACTGACTCGCGAAGAAACAACGAGATTAGTCTGATCGAAAACATTTGACATTTCGCGCTTGTAGCTATTTGATACAGTTCATCTCATTCTACCAACCCCGCTCCAATGTAGACCCTTCGCCGCATCCCCAGTAAGCCCAATCACAACCATAGTGATTTCAGGCAGAAAATAAAATAAGAACCCCTGACTCCCAAATACTGATCCCATGAATGTGCGGATAAAGAAGGGAGAGATAGCTAGTGGCGTGGCCATCTGACAGTCTCACTCTAGACCTAATCCAAAGATGACTCCCCTCCCTTCGTTGATGTTCCGAACGACTTTCTTTTTTTTTTCATCCTGCCTCAAAGAGGGTATCATTTCCTAATTTCCCAAGTGTTGTGACATGGCGTAATAGCGATGTAATATTCGTTTTTTTATGTTGAGATTTTTTTGATGGATGACCGCATTTAAGCAGCAGCGGCGTCGGCCTCGGGGAGCTTCATGCCAGTACCGCTAAGGTTGCTGACCTTGGCGTTGGGGTTCTTGGTGTAGTAATCGGAGATAGCGGACTTGATAGCATCCTCAGCCAACATGGAGCAGTGCACTATTAACCGAGTTAGCATCACAGTGCGCAATATACCGCAATTGAGCGGCAGTAAGCGAAATATCAGGGTAGTAACTTACGCTTGACGGGGGGTAAGCAAAGCTCCTTAGCAATCTCAGTGTTCTTGACCTTGCCAGCATCATCCAAGCTCATACCGCGCACGAGCTCAGTGAGATAGCTGCTGGAGGCGATGGCGGAACCACACCCGAATGTCTTGAACTTGACCTCGGAGATCTTCTGGGTTTCAGGGTCGACGCGGATCTGTAGCTTCATGACATCGCCGCAGGCAGGGGCGCCGACGAGACCGGTTCCGACATCACTGTCCTTCTTGTTCATGGAGCCGACATTTCGAGGTCGTGAGTAGTGGTCGAGGACCTTCTCGTGGTAGGAGCGGGTAGCGTTGACGGCGACGGCGGGAGAGATCTGGCGGGCAGGGAGGATTGTAGGACGGGCGAGGGGAGCAGCGACGGCAGCTCGCCGCGAGACAGCGCGAATTCCTCTAGCGAACATTCTGATATGTGTGTTGTGTTTTGTAGGTTTTGGTGATATATCGAGGTCGTCGATATCAGGTTATGCGTAGGTCGTTGAGAGTGTTTCTCAGGATTGTTGTAAGATGCAAGATTGTGAAGTGATGCAAGATCAGAGTTAAGTTGAACGGGAGGCGAAAAGCGATGACGGAGGGAAGTTGAAGTCTGGGGGTTTGGCTAAAAAAAAGATGCTCTTGTCTGCGGGCGGGACTTGAGCAGATGGCGATTTCGGGCAATGGCTTGCGGTGGTGTGGATCAGACATGGGCCAATCAGTGAGCTTCGATTGCTCGGCCATTACGTCTTTATTAGCTCGGTACTCCTCGGAGAAGAGTGAGACAGATTCAAGACCCGCCTATTTCCCACTCTTTTATATTGACGTTTGTCTGACTTCTGCCTTTACTCTGAGCGCCTTTGAATTCATTTTCCTGTTTGTTTAATTTAATTTATTGTCTGTTGACTATCATACTCTCCCGTTCTCATCAAACGTAATGGAGTAAAGTCAGTCCGATTGGATTGACAGTGGAGGGAGGTGAGGAGTAAAACCGACAGCTTAGTTTGTGGCCGGGGACCCGGACTAGTCTGCATCTGATAAGATGCCAGTGACACCAAAACATTCATTACTAATAACATGCCGAGGCGAATCACACATCGTCATGGAACATGGAGCGGCAATTTATCCGTTTGATTCTCGATTCTTCAGGCGGTCCATCGGTATTCTTCTCCGTACGGACACTGTAGTCTCGACCCCAGAATGCAGATCGATTTGTTACTGGCCAAATGAGAAGATGCTGATAGTTAATGAAGTTCTGAACTTCGGTGTAAGCCCGGCGACATCGGCGTTGACATGCCGGCGCTGAAAATGATTTGTCAACGTGCATGACTTTTGTCCATCTGATAAGGCCAACACAAGATTGATAAGTCAACACAATTTCTCCGTGCACAGTCCGCGGGGTCTTGGATTGAGAATGTTTACCTTCGGGTAAGAATGCTATCAATTGCTCCGAGACCCGAAAGTAACATATCAATTGTCAATGCATGATTCTAGCACTAATCTGTGACTCTGAGTACCAGATTAAAGACGAATTGTAAGTTGGTGGATCTCGGTCGTTGAAATCCCCGCTCGCTTTTTACACGGAGTCGGGGATATGCTCCCGGACATTTGGCACTTCAATGGAAATTAAGTTACATCGATCTGTATGTAGCTGCAACATTGTGACGTTAGTTCAACATGTCACATGTGGCATATTTTTATTCACTACAGACCTCTCGTGAGGATTCGGTGCCGCGATTCGAGTCTTGAAGTCTTAGACCCTGATCAAACCTCTGGGACCAACCTCCGACGACCCGGCTTCGACTGGCGTAGAAGCTGCTAAGTCATTCTTTGAACTACAACGAGAATCTATACAATTGTATGAAATTCAGAACCCTCTATACATTAATATCGAAGCAATACATTCCGTAGGCTACTTCAGTGTAGTATAGGCTCCATTTCCCACCTTTCTCTCCACTGCTCAAGGGGACTTTCCTCTTTGTACATGCCTCAGGGAGCAAGAAAACTTAGGAACTCTATCCTAAGTAATGAAAAGATTTATGTAAATTTAGTGAAGATTTAGGAGGCCTTTAGATTAGTTATTTTTATTACTTAGGATAAATGCCCTAAGTTTCTTTCTGCCTCCTCTTGATATGTTATCTCAAATCGTACTTTAGTAGTGCAAATATGGCCCAACAAACTTGTGGTATTGCCAACAGACTTCTATAGTATAATTACAGATAGCCGTATACTTCACCAAGGGAACGGTCTCTTGTAAGTTCATGCCGATAGGTGCTGCGAGATTGAACTTTCACGTGTGGTATGTAGATTCATATGAAACAATCAACCATTGCAAATTGACAATACCCCATCACTTCTCATTAGCTAAAAGGACAATTCTTTAAAGTATTCTCAAACTGATTGACTTGAATGATCAGGATTCCAACTCTCCTGGCTCTTCAGCGAGAAGGACGTCCGTCAGTTGGGTCAGTAGTGGAAGCCAGCTCTCGAACTGCTCACCTCCGCATTGATACAGACCAACCCCAAGCTTAACCATGGCTAGTTCTAGATCATATCTCAAGGTCACTTGATCAGATTCTAGTTTCTTCTGGACTATATAGTCCCAACAGCTTGAAAATGGTTCTGAAATCTTGGGATGTTTGGAGGCCTAGTGTTCTGTTAGAATGCATGGGCTTGGAGAGGTTGAGCGGTGGAAGACTTACTCGAATCACTTCCAGCAACTCATTAAAGCCTTTCGATCTATAGTTTCGGGTTGTCCGTATTGAGCTAGGTACACGCCTGGGTCCAGGCTGTTGTTCCATGTATTTCTTTTTCCAGATGCGCCGGAGACGGACCATGACCTCGATCTTCAACTCCGAGTACGTCTTCGCAGCCAGGTCTTCCATCTCTCGGTCCAGTTCACCAATACTTATTTGCTCAGAAATATCCCAAAATCTATCGTTGTCGACATTAGAAACCAAGTCAAAGTTGCACATTGTGAGGCATGTGTGATGTAGACCAGCTTGATCAAAAGACATTCGTCGCAGAAGGGCGAGGGAAACTTTCTTAGCTTCTTCAACCTTTCTCTGCTTTTCTAATATCTCAAGCCACGCAAACAGCCCTAGATTTGATCTATTGAGCAACCAGTTCGAACCTGGCATGCACCCACCAGCCGAACAACTGCACACGCAGTCATCTCGCGATAAGACTTGAACTCCTTTATCAAGAAGAAATTTGATAATTTTCAAGACCGCCGGTAAACCTTTCCAGTCGCATCCTTCAAGATCATTGAGCAGATTGTCAAGAATATGCCAACCCCAGCTACTGTGTAAATGTGCATCGCCACCATTCGCAACAGCAAACTGGAACAACGACAGGTCATGCAACGAAGCTAGGTGCACAAGTAAAGCCCCGGTCTCTTGCTTGAATTTGGTGAAGCCTAACTGAATCAACACTCTCGCCGATCTAGAATTATGAGTCATGTGCATCAAGGTCGTGCCATCGCGAAAGGAGAAGTTGGCGCTACCAAGCATAGAGATTACCCGGGACCAGAAGTTGATACAGCCTTTTCGACCACCATAATCATTTGCAGCATAGCAGCCTTCGTAGGTAGCGAGATAGGGGCTGGATAGCAATTTTCTGAACAGCTCAGGGATTAGATCAGGGTAGGTAGCCGCTGCAAAGTCGACGACCTGCCATATTAAGTCCCAGTTGCCCAGCCTGGCAATGCGATCAAGAACAGTGAGGCTGTTCTCTCCAGAGCCAAATAAACTGGCACCGTTTTCGACAAGCATCATAACTGTTTCTGGGATGTTCATTGCTGCCGCATACATTAAAGGGGTCGCGCCTCTTTTATCGTTTAGATCAACTTGATGACCAGCAGCCAGGAGTTGAGCTACGCGCGAAGGTTGGAGAACGGCGACGTGAAGTGCTGATTGACCCAACGAGTTCATAGCCTTCTCAAAAGGCTGTGCATTTCTACCCAGACAAAACTTGAAGTCCTCATCTGATCCAAAGAGCAATGAAGAGTGAAGAGGAGGGCTACCTCCAAATTCTTGGACAATTACTTATTAGACTGATATAATGTTGATATTGCAAGGGGGTCTCACCAGGATCTATTTCAAGAAAGAATTTTATAAAGTGCAAATTAAAAGGGTCGTCCAGAAAGAGGTAGGGCATTCGCCATGTGTCCCAAGTCAGCACAACATTTCTGAAATCGCACCCAAGAGCAGTACGAGAGGTAACCGGGCCGGTATAAGACCCGTACTTCCTCATTATCGTTATTTGTACTTGTTGTAAGAGACTTATAAGTGTCAACGGCCTCGTACCAAAGTAGCAGTAGAGGGAGTGGAAGACTAACCCCCCAATCAGGAACCTTTTATAGCTAGTACCAAGCACTTCAAGATGTTCTGATAATTGATAGGCGAGCATCATTCGACTGTGAGCTTTTCCACCACATCCAGTGGATATAGGATAATGCAGACCATGGAATCCAACGGGCTCAGGAAGGAGAAATCAGTCACCCTCCACTCTCGATTCTCTAGAGGTAAAACAAGTATAATACTACACTCTAGAATATGCGCAATTCGAGGAACGACCTTTGAGATTTGAAGCATCGCCACCTAGGTACCGACCAAGATACAATCGTGAGCCCAAGCCAAACTTACAATCACACCTGGCAGGGCTACCACAGATGCTTTCTCGGGGCCTTCTTATCAGCGTAAGAATATTGTTCCGTCATATTCATTCCTTCTTTATCAGCCTTGAGCCCTAGAGTCGTCAGCGTCGTCCCCAAAAACGCGAGTGTTGCGGCGCGTGACACAGGGATTGATGCCGACCTTGGTCTGTGTCATGCCAGAGCCAACCAATCCCACGAAAAAGCGTCTTGCTTGACTTCCGCCTTAGTAGAAGAGCTGAACAAACAAAGATATCATTTCTCCGCTTTCATGGGAAATCTTTTCCAATCGTCAATCCCATAGCAAGAACTTTCCTTGATAGGAGCCTGAAGATATGGCATCTGTTGAGTCTCCTTAATTTTGGGACACCTCTGAATCTCTGACTGTCAACTTCGTCCCCTAGTCTACTCAAGCAAGACAGGTTCTGAGTCAAGTGATAGAAGGTGGCCGAGGGTGCAAGTGCGATGGTATCAGTGCGTTTCAGCATCCTTTTTACACACCCAGAAAGAACGTGATGCAGTGAGAGGTTCAGGGGGTTCTTATTATTTCTTGCAAGAAGATTTGATCAGGAATGCTTCCACAGTATAGATCTTTAGCAGGCTCTGTAAATTCCTGATTTTCCTGCACTTGACGTATACGTTCAGTTGCGAAGCTAAGCATATGTCATCTCCTCCTTCGCGAGACCACCGAGTAGACTTTCACCGAGATCAGATAGTCATCCAGGTTCGAAAGGATCCCCATCGCCGATGAGGACTATAGCAGCTCGTGTATTGAGGCAGCTAACTCTCAATACTTTCGCTTTGATCCAAGGACCCCAGTCTCACCATACACTATCGCCATTCACTACATCACGCCTGAGTAGCGTTCTCATCACCCAGCGACGAGTACTCCTGCAGCGCAATCTCGTCCAGCGCACCACGCCACTCAACAACCCTCTCCCCATTAACACCCCTACGTCCCTTCTCCATAGCCCGACGCATGACCAGCGGATCAAAGTACAAAGGCTCATCAGCGCGGCCAAGGATGGGCACTACTTCAGCCAGCTTTCCGCGCCAGAAGCCGAAGCGGGCATGGATGCCGACACGCATACGGAAGCGACGGGACCGATGGGCGATGATGAAAGGCACTACCAGGTAGTCCGGCACTCCAGCCTTATCCACGGAGCTCTCTTCGACCCGGACATGCAGTTTGTTTTGTCCCGGACCTTTATGTGCTACCTTAACCTTGACGGCTCCGGTCTTCGTCCAGGTTCGGGACTCACCGATGTTGTAGGAGATAGACGCGGGATTGTAGCCTATTTGCATGCCAATTTCGCTTCCGATTGTCACCTCAGAGGACAGTGGTGTGCCCTCCCAACCACTGGGACCGGGAAATGCCTTGACGATTGCCGGGTGCGGGAGCTCCTCTTCCTCGTCATCGTCGCTGTCTTCAGAATCATCCGAAGCGCTCTGCCCCTCATCTCTCGGTGCATCTTCTGTAAGGACGTGAATATCAACCGTCTGTATGCGGCTGAGCCAGCTTCGATTTCCCCCTGACAAGGACAGCTGCAATTGTAGCCGGACGAGGTACGCTGGTTCATCGAAGTAGGTTCCTGCAAGAACGGGCCTTAGGAGCTCGGCTTGGAGAAGACTAGATGAATTCCCAGACGAGATAATCTGTCGTGGTTCAGAGAGCTGAGCTTGGTTGTTCTTCTGCGGTGCCGAGAGCTGACCCGCATCATCATCGATTGACACAGTCAATGGCAGAAGGACTGGGGACGAGAAGTTGGTGTCATCACTGTCGCTGTCAAATACAGACAACTGTATTGGTGATTTCGAATCTTCAGACAATTCGCCCATTATGTTCGGGTTGAGGGAGACGTTTCTTGTGTGTAAGTGGGATGGATGTTCCCGATGGATGGTTAGACTATATCGAACAGTCTTCTGAATATAAAATGGCCTATCGTTCGTAGAACATGAGCCGTAGAATCTGATGTGAGATCAAGCACACATGCACCAGGATATATAACTATCAGCACTCAGCCTCACTGCAACACAATTGTTTGAATATGCGCTCAAGAACCGGGCTCCTAAGTCTAGACTGCCACGCCACCGGCGCGTGACAGCTGCTGAAACGCCTCTTCTGAAATTCTGGTCGTCCTCAACATCCTTGCCAGGCACATTATTGCTTTATCCCGCAGCACACCAGGCGCCATCGACTGATGCGGACCAATAGGATCATTGTGACTCCCCCTCAACTCTCAAATTACAAAGAAGCTGAAACGAGCTGAAAAATGTTCATGTTAGACAAAACTGACGCCCGAATAGTAGAACAAGAAGGGGAGACAGCACGAGAGAGGGATAACATAAGAGGATCAGCACGGCCTTGTTGAAGAAACGATGCGACATTTCTAGATCCTCAAAGCATTATCCCTATCATTGCCCTAACACTTCCGGAGGGTGTAGTCACTTGCCTCTGATCCGACTTGAGCTTTCCTGTCATTATTCATACCTCAAAACTCTACAATGGATACAGCATCGGAACGATTAAGCGAGGTGTCAATATCTCCTCACTACTGGGGGATACATACGTCTCTGTACAGCTCATTGCCCCCGGAGGCTGTCAAACAGCTCGAGCGCGCCATCTGGCTCAAGATATCAGGACTCGCGGACGAAGCAAGAGCCATATTTGACAATGAGCTCAGCTCTCTTGCAACAGTTCCAGTCGTAGCCATTGAACATGCTGACCTCGAGCTTGAGGCGGGCAAATGGGGACGGGCATGGAGAATCCTGAACTCGAAGCTTGCGCAACTACAAGATGCTAACGGGGACCTCGAAGCGCCTGAGTATCGACTCATGGCCTTGACGTGGGCCATGCTCGGGACGAGGCATCGAGGTGATGTAACGTCGTCAGCTATAGAAATTGAAAGGACACAGCATTGGCTGGCCGAAGTACCTGTAGCAGATTATACTGATATCCAGGTGCGTCAGTTGTCCTTAATATCCCCGAAACGAGGTAAAACGACTGATCTAACTACGTGCTTAGGCAGGCTGTATTCGCCGATATGTCATCGCGAGTCTGTTCACCAGGCTCTACTCGGGATACAATAACCCAGAGTCAGAGCACATACCGGCACATAACAAAACAGACGGTTCCGGTGCAAAGATCCCTTGGGGTGGGCTGCAACTACTGCGGCGCTCTCTCACGCAGAAAGGCATGTTCAACGAGGCCAATGCTTTGTTCCGCGTAGAGTTGAATCGTACGCCACCAGAAGACCGCGGCCCTGTGGTTGAGGAGTTTCTGGAGGCTGTAGTAAGCATCCCTCCGAGTCGCGGTCGGGACTTCATCGAGGCGGTGGTTCGCCTTCAGTGGGCAACCACACATGTTCAGCTACAAGCACCTGTCAGCGCCGTCGAGGAATTCGACAAGTCTGCGGCGGCTTTCCGGAGGTTCTGCGATGACTTTGGCATTAGAAACAAGGAGGCTACACCGCATATGCAAGCAATGGCGTACGAGAGGCTGTCATGCATCGACGACCCCATCGGCAGGTTAGACCGCACGGAGGAGCTGGCCGCTCGTATGGAGGCTATCGACGGCACGAAGACTGGCCTATGCTTATCGGCGGCGGCTGATTTGTCCAGAGCTTACTACACGGCCACAGGGATGGAATTGTTCAAGACCACGTATTTCGACGTGCAGAAGCGCCTCGAGACGTATGACCAGACGGTATCGGAGGATATTTGCGATCTGGTGCACCATCATGTTGACCTCATCTCCGTTACCCTCGCGAGTCTCGTTGATCGCCACAAGGCTCTCGAATGGGTCGATGCCTTTTTTAAAGAACATCCGCATTTTGACGCCCCAGTAGTGCGGGCGTTGCTCTGTAGGAGTAAGGCTTCACTCTTGCGAAGTCTTTGTCGAATGGATGAGGCCGACAAGGTGGACGAGGAAGCAAGTCGATTAGAAGCATTCACGCCATCGATAGGGAAGTGGACCCATGCGAGAAAGGGTTATCGCGCTCCAACGACGAGGAGCACAACTTCTTCGGTGCAGCCAGATCCCCAGCATCAGGTTCAGGACGATGATGGGGAGGAGACATTCTACTGGGGTTGGAGCGATGCCGTTGGGGATCAATTCAAGATACAAGAAATGGCCATTCAGCTGGTACTGAAGTGGCTGCTAGATGACATCGCCATTGGGAGCTCTGCCCTTGAAGAGTTTGAAGGGATGACAGAAGCTGAATTGAAAGCTATCGTCTTCCCCAAAGCCGTCGATACCGATGAGTTCGCAGAAGGACGGTACATTCGCCTCTGTGCATGGCTCGGCAATCCTCCTGAGCACCAAAGAAACCGCCGGTTGTTCTGTTTGGTCATGCTTAGGTACGGGAGGCAGATGCACTTTTCTGACCATAAACTCTGGGAACCACGCCTCTCTGAGCTCCATCACTTACTGGAGCTCGAAGAAACCCTCCCCCAAATCATCCGGGACAACTTTCCTGGTAGCAAGGGTAGTTGGCTGGGCCAAATGGCACTCACGTACATGGCACCTCTCGAGGACTTGGCAGATCTTACCAGCGCTGAATCGGGACAACGATTATCAAATGCTCAAACATACAACGACCGTGCTCTGGCTGAGTATCGTCGAAAGAAAGACCTGGTTCGAGTGGCTCTTCACCAGCGATCTGGGGCGCAAATCTGCATGCTCATGATCATACGGCTGAGACAATTGGAGCAGCAAGCAGCGAGCGCCAATACCAAGTACGGCACAGCAGACAATGGGTCCCAAAAGGCAGAGAAAAATGATGCTTTTCTCTCTACCTATTCTAAGGCGAAAATCGGCGACCTCCGCGACAGGGGAATTAGTCAAGCCGAAGAGGCTGATGAGATATTTTCGCTGAGCGAGCTGCACGCCTCATCAAGCTCAGGCCTAGAAGGCATCACCCAGCGGCAGAACATCACCGCGTTCAATGCCAACGCGTACACGGTCCGCACAGCCATCGAATTGCTCCTCGCGGCGCCGGGTGAGCCATCTGATGAGACTATCACAAAGGTGTGGCGGTGGGTGCAGAAGTACAAAGCACGCTCACTGGCGCGAACGATCGGGGTGCGTATCTCTGATCCGCCCGAGCTGGTGAATAAGATCATGGCCTGTCCTGACGCTGCCCGCGGTTACGAGGAGATGCTGGCGATCGAACAGCGTATCAAGGAGGCGGAAGGGATGGCTAAGTTCAATCTGCGTCGGCAGCTGGACACGCATCTTCAAACTATGAGGGAGAAGCACGACCTCATGAGGCAACTCCTTGACTTGAGAGAGGCCCAGCCGTTTGACTTGCCGGATGTGTCCAGGATCAAAGCCCAGAGTGGTACACGCATTGTGCTGGTTGACTGGTTCCACCTCCCTCCGTATGTCACCGGCGACGCCGATAGACTGTTGTTGTTCACAGTCAAGGATCAATCCAAACCAACCATGGATATGTTGACTACAAGAGTAAAAGACGTGATGGCTTGGCAGAAAACATACCTCGCCCCTGATGAATTCGAAGACGTGCCAGAGGAGAATCTCGACACGACAGAGGCACGTGAAGCATTCGACAGCATGCTAGGTGGTCTCGTTGCGCCGCTTGCCCGCCATGTCAAGTCCAATGAGCTCGTTGTCCTGTGTCCGTCCTCTTATCTCCATCGGCTTCCACTCCATGCACTTGCGATCGGAGGATATGACGCGCTGATCCATCGGAATCCCGTCGTTTACACACACAGTCAGTCGCTGCTACGTTCCTGCTTCGCGGCCACGGAGCTGTCCCGTCCCTTGCCTGCGCGCATCAACGCCAGATTCATATCGGGCATTGCAGAATCCGAATCCACAGGACTTGAGGCAGGACGGAGCAGCATCCAGACACTAGCCCGTCGGTTCCGCACAGATCCAATGATCGACCGGACCGCCTCCAAGAAGCTCTTCCTGGACGTGGCTACCCAGTCACGTCTACTTCATCTGCACACTCACTGCAACTGGAAGTCGAGAGACCCGTTGGATCATGAGGTCGAGTTTCCCATGCCATGTGCGCCGCTCGAGGGGCAGCGCCCGGTCGAGAGCGTCACAGCCCGAGAATTCTTCGACATCCAAGTCTCTCCAGGTACACACATCAACATGATAGCGTGCCAAGGGGGTGTTATGGATGTACGGCTTGGAGATGAGGTCATGGGGCTCGTCCCTGCACTGATGTGTTCCGGGGCCAGCTCTACTATTTCAACGCTGTGGAGTATCAAAGACACGCATGGGGTGAAGTTTGAGAAGGTATTCTTCGACTCGTTCCTCAAACAGAGCGCTCCCAAGAAGCGTAAGAACGGACCTAAAACGGACGATGATACATCAAAACCCGACGGCAGCCTCTTGGTGAATCTTGCGAAAGCGATGCAGCTAGCCGCCAAGGTGATGGACGAGTTCACAGCAGCGCCTCTCTACAAATGGGCAGGCTATGTGCTTCATGGCTGCTGGCAATTCCCACTTTCGGAACAGGATATCGAGTCGTTGCAAACTGGTGTGATAGATAAAGGAGCCGACGGCGCCGCATCTTAGGCAAGACGAAGTTTGCGGTATGGCAACCCTAGTATCAAGAAGTTATGCTTGACGGCCTCAGAATAACTGCAAAGTCGCGATCCAACAACTTGCCGGGAGCCAGTTCCGCTGACGGCCCCCCCTGCAATCAAGGAAAGCGTCGGCAGTTGGCTGTCTTTAATGAATGAAACCTGCTATTTTCGCTTCTGTGAGAAAGTTAAAACCACATAATGGCATGGCGCTCATAGAATCAAGTCTCACGTAAGCTTGAATCCCATAATATTCAATCCCATCGTTTTTGGCAAGCCAGAGTTTATAAGGCGAATAATTAGTGAATCGTGTGCCTGGTGTTCATAAGACAAAGCTCACTGCTCTCAAGAAGTGGCTCCCGGGTAGGTCAGTTGCTGTGTTACCACCTGAATGCCTTAGGCTCTGCCTTTTCTGAATCCCACGCGATGGGAATATTATTGTTTGGCCCAAAACTGCAATATTGGCACCTGTGATGAGACTATGTTGTGCAACGTTAGGCTGCCGTGTTGAAGTTTCAAGACCTACAATGCGCTCCAAGTCTGATGAGTAGGTAGCCAGTGCCTATCAATACCATCAGTACTGAAGGTAACCTTTTGACCAGTCAACGCCTCGATTTCCGAGACAAGAGAGATCACAACAAACACCAACCAGCCAAGACTTAAGACGATTATTACTATGTGGAATCATTCCAAGTTCCAAGCGGGATCTTGAGAAATCATCAAAAAGACGACGCCACAGCGCCACCTGACAGTATGAGTGGCTAGTGGAATGCCCCGCCGCCTTCCCCAGGCAACCTAAGCTCCAGTGACGTGTGTCGCCTATCACTGAAGCACCTTTCAACTCTAGTGTTGATTTCAACTCGAGCTTGATTCCACATCAACCTTATACATACCACCCGAAATCTTCTCTTTTTCTTGTCCTGAACGGACCTTGACTTGTAAAAAGAGAAAAAGAGCCAAACTTTACGCATCATGGCTTGCCCGCATCTCGACTTGATCGGTATGTGAACCTCCAAAATCGACCCCGCCATTTGATCGACCACCAGTCATGATGGTTGCGACAAGCTCGCGGTCGACCTCAGTAGAACTTTGTAAACTGACTATGCCGTAGGGCTGACACCCCCTAACCCTTCTCAGTCCGTCTATCGTGAAGACTGTACTCAATGTTTCGACTCCATCGTAAGGCTCCCGCTTGCTGGGCTGCCAAGCCCTTGAAATCTTCAAAGCTTAGCTTACTGACCAAGTTGAATAGGATGATCCTGCTGGACTCGATGTCTGCCTTCAGTGCTTCAACGGAGGCTGCGCTGGCGACCGCAATCATGATAGACTTCACTATGCGCTGACCCAGCATCCCCTCGCTCTCAACATCCGCCGCACGAGAAAAATTGTCGAACGAGACGAGCCACCCGCCAAGATGTCGAAGCTAGCTATTGCCGCCGAAACAGAAGAGGACAGATATGATACAGCGTTGACCGTCAAGTGCCTCGATTGTAATACCGAGCTCGATCGAACACATCCCAAGCTCGCTCCTATGGTCGACGGTATTCTCAAGGCGAACACATTTTCTCGAAAGGAAGAGGTCAAGGCATGGGAACAGGAACTGACCAGCTGCGAGCATATCTTGATGCTACAGCAAGCGCCTGCTAAGAAGATCGAGCAAAACGACCTGAGCCATTGCTACGCTTGCGACCTAGCAGAGAACCTTTGGCTGTGCATCGAATGTGGCAACCTGGGATGCGGTCGTAAGCAGATGGGTGGCGTTGACGGAAACTCGCATGCTCTCGCTCACGCCAACGAGTCCGGCCATGGCGTCGCTGTGAAGCTTGGATCTATCACACCTGAGGGTACAGCCGACGTCTACTGCTACAAGTGTGACGATGAACGAGTCGACGACAACCTGGGCGAGCACTTGAACCATTGGGGCATTGTGTTGGCAGAGCGCCAAAAGACGGAAAAGAGCTTGACTGAGATGCAGATCGAACAAAATCTCAAATGGGACTTCAGCATGACAACGGAAGACGGAAAAGAGCTCAAGCCCCTGTTTGGTCCTGGTCTCACTGGTTTAAAGAACCTCGGAAACAGCTGCTACCTTGCCAGTATCATCCAGTGTCTGTTTGACATGCCGTCATTCCAGGAGAGATATTTCCGGCCCAATGACGACCTGCCCATCGTTCCCGAACCAGCTGCTGATATCGAGACTCAGCTCCGAAAGACAGCCGATGGACTTTTGTCTGGGCGATACTCTAAACCTGACGCTGAAGTCGCTGGAGAGGGAATCACACACCAGAAGGGTCTTGCGCCAGCCATGCTCAAGCACCTAATCGGTCGAGGACATGAAGAGTTTTCTACAATGCGACAGCAGGATGCCCTCGAATTCCTTCAGCATCTGTTCAAGCTCATCACTCGATCTCCCCACCCCGACGGAAAGGACCCTACACAACCGTTCCGTTTTGTTCTCGAACAAAGACTCCAATGCTTGGGATGCCACAAGGTGCGGTACAGCAGTAACGAGCAGGACAACATTTTCATCGACGTTCCCCTGGAAAAGCTTCCTCGTGAAGAGGGCTCGGAGGGTCCAGACGCTTACAAGCCTGTGTCACTCAAGGAGTGTCTCGATAACTTCACAGGAGCTGAGAAGGTCGAGCTGACTTGCTCTGCTTGCGGAAGCAAGGATGGGTTCACCAAGCGATCCCTGTTTAAGACCTTCCCCGACACCCTGGTTGTCAACGCACGGAAAATGACTGTTGTCAACTGGGTTCCTATCAAAGTTGATGTTCCTGTTCTTGTACCCGACGAGCCCTTCAAATTGGACGAATATCTGTCCAAGGGGCTGCAGCCCGGAGAGGAACAACTGCCAGACGAGCCTGAGACCCAAACACCCGCTTTCGAGCCCGATGCTGCCGCCGTTGCTCAACTTGAGGCCATGGGCTTCCCTCGCAACCGTTGCGAACGTGCTCTCCACGCTACTGGCAACTCCGACGCAAATGCCGCCATGGAATGGCTATTTGGACACATGGAGGATCCTGACATCGATGCGCCTCTTGACCTTGGTGCTCAAAGCGGCGGAGGTAACACCGCCGACCCTGAGAAGATCGAGATGCTTGGGGCTATGGGTTTCGGTGCCCCTCAGGCCAAGAAGGCTCTGAAGGAGACCGGCGGTGATGTTGAGCGGGCTGTTGAGTGGCTCTTCAGCCACCCTGATGACCAGGGAACATTTGATGATGATGCTCCTGCTGAAGGAGGTGCAGCTGCCCCTAAGGAACTTGCTGGAAGTGCTGATCTACCCGCTACTTTCCAACTTCGATCAATCGTGTGCCACAAGGGCACAAGTATCCATGCTGGGTAAAGATTTCTACACAATTGAAGCACACAGGCATGCTAACTACTTATAGACATTACGTTGCCTTCATTCGCAAGGCTTTGGGAGATGCTAATGTTCCTACTTGGGTGCTCTTCAACGATGAGAAGGTCGTTGAAGCCCACGATGTTGATGAGATGCGCAAGTTTGCGTATGTATACTTTTTCAAGCGAGTCTAGTCGAATATATCGACTGTGTAGCACTGGGTGAGGCGTAGTTGGTTTTGAAGACAGGGTGGTTGCATCAGACGGTGAATGGCGCGAGGTTGAAGAGACGAGGGCAGCTATGGTTATGCTGACATGATTTGGTATCTGGGCATTAGAAAAGCAGATGATACACGTCATGTAGAAGTGACTGGAATATTATATCTGCGAAGATTAGACAACAAGATATCCTGATACGTATCGTACAAATCCATCATGGTCGTTGAATATTGAATATGGACAAACAAAGTCCCCAAGGCGCCTTGTAACGCCTCTCAAGATAAATCATTCCTGAGTTATGCCGAAATCCACCAAAAGCAACTCATCCATCTCTTTCCCTCCATTATACACTCAAAACTCACCAGCCTAATCGGTGAATCGATAGCTGACCAGAGTATCAACACGGTGATTCGCTGTGCTGAATCCCCTCAGTTGTACCTTTTCTCCGTTCTCAATCTCCTTCGCATCCGAATCACCCCACTCAACAGGGACCTCACTATCTGCATCTGCGTAAACGAGAACGTTGAATGTGCAATCGCCGCTTAGTTGAGGTAGAAACGTAACAGACGCAGTGATTTGACGGAAAATAGCTGCGATTTCGGCTTGGATTTCTGTTTCTGTCTTTTCGGGGGCTGTGGGGGCGGAACCGGCGGGAGCGGCGTTTTCTTGGTCTTTGGAGGAGGATTTGGAGGACTTGGATTTCTTGACGGGTTGGAAGATTTGAACCTGTTGAAGTTAGAGGCCATGGGGCAGGGGGAGGGGAGGGAATGCGTACGTCGAATTGCCAGCGCTCGACGTGCTCGCCTGTGTCTTTATCTGTAATGACGATGACGAGCTTGGAGATCTTGCCGCCGACCATCCATTTGTCGAGTTGGGACATGATCTTTTTGATGTAGGCTTTTACTTGGTCATCGGCCGAGACTGGGTTTTTGTTAGTCGCAAAGGTCGCAAAACGGTCGCCTTGGAGACATGGGTCGTGGGCTTACCCAGCATGTTGAGGCCATATTTCTTGACGCTGGTAATTGTCAGTTGATGTTTGAAGGAATCGGTCGCAACGAACGTACACTGTAAAGTCCTCGGCAGGGTAGACACCTCGTTGAAAGCTATCATATCGTTAACAAGAGTCGGCGATCGATAAGGGGCAGATTCTCGTACAGAATGCTGTGAATAGAATATTGAAACTGTAAACCGCAACGGTTAGCAAACTCTCGCCCAAGTAGGAAATCAGCTTGTTCCAACGTACGAATTCAGCGACAAGGCGAGCGCTGCCCTTGAGGGAGAGCTTATGGATCTTGGACTTATCCTTGTCCTTACTCTTGGAAGCTTCCTTTGACGACATTTTCGCGCTACTGGGATATCAATTGGAATGAAGGGTATGTGCCGACGGTTGTGACAGGTTGAGTTTGGAAATTAGTGGTTTTGTTTACTTGCGGTTGCGGGGTGGAAGAGTCCCAAGGGTCTGTGCGGCGGGGTTCACCGAGTCACCGAGCTTCACCTTGATTTATGGCAATGATCATGATGAGGATGTATTTATTGACAATCTACCAACGTGAAAAGTGAACTCCTTGCGGCCACTGAATCTGGGCCTGATCATCCCCTGATGTATTTGAATAGTTGTAGTAGTTGTAATTGTTATTGTAATAATCATTGTAATCGTTATAGTAGTCATAGTAATCATCGTAGTCGTAGTATGGATCTTCCTCATCATAGTAGGAAAAAGGGTACGTATAATAGTAGCGTACGACCTGAGACGAATCCCCACTTGATGTGGTTGATGTCGATGTAGATGTCGATGATGAAGAAGTTGAAGTAGTTCTGCGTCGCCTTCGTTCTTCCGATGAATCGTTGGCTCCGCTAGCATACATCGCCCAGGACCGGAGGAAGATTCCAATGGTGAGCATAAGGGGCAGTAATTGTGTGACGGTAGTAAAATCGTAAACATCTTGGATGTGGTTCCATTGGTTAGGAAGTTCGATAGATAGGACTAAAAGTGTGAAGATTATGAAGCCGGATATTGCGCGGAGTTTTCTGAGTCGCCAAATATTTCTGGACCTGAATGTGTTCAGTCGTGCAGCTTAGTAGCTTAGAACGCTCTCACCTCGTTCTCCTATTTCGCGAGCTTGATTTGATTATCGGTGTGCAGCAGGTGTTCAAGAGGATGAATCCACCGATACTGACAAGGATCCCAATGAAGAATATCGAGCCAGCTATGATGTATCCCCGACTCTCCAGATTCACCTTGCCAAGCAGAAATATCACATCACGACAACCACGGTCGAGGTGCGGTAGAAAGTACGTAAAGTACCAGGTTCCCATGGATACATTGGCCGTGAGCACCGTAAGAGTCATGAGGTGATAGAAATGCCCGTGGCTCTCCTTTGAGAGTTGGAACGGGTCAAGGTGGGCTTGACATCTCGTGACAATACGCCAGATGTGTAATGGCATCTGAAATAGAAAGCATCCCATGACTAGAAGAAGCAAGAAGTATATGTCGAGGGGCTGCAGGGAGTTGTAAGCGACTCCAATGACGAGAGATATAGACGCGGCTGCTGAAGAAAATATACTGATAAACCGTAAATCTGCGAGGTTCTCCTCAGAGAGGTATTCTATGAGAAGAGAGCCAAGCCATTGTGCGTAAAATGCGGCTCGAATACCGACTCCATAGACATCAGAACGACCCGTGAGAGAACAAAGCGGCTCACTTCTTGCATCCATGGTGTTAACTCTCACGAGTCACTGAGGAGACTGATGCGAAACATAGGGAACACAGTTCATCCCTCATGGTGGCTGGGGTCTGGCATACACTTGTATGCCATCTCAGTCCAGCACCCATTTGAGACTCTCGCATAGTCGTGTAAAGAATGAGACGGACATGCGAGTCAAGCTCTCACAACCGGCGCCCAAGGCGATCATGAAGTAGTCCAACAGAGACTATGAAGCTTTTGGCAAAGAGGAGGACAAACGATGCTTCATGACTTTCCTAGGACTAAATATAACAAACCAAAATGTCATATAAACCTAGACGATCAAATGTAAACCAGGAATGACCCAATCATGATTCTGTTACATCGCCCGGTAAGTCAGGCATCGAGGTAACTCCATTCCCAACTTGACAGAACTGAACGGCAACTTGCATTTTGATAGGCTTTGTGACAGCACTGCAGGTATGGCTCCTGTAGCATTCGGGTACCGACTTGAAAGGGAGCATACACGATCGTTACGCATATGAGACTGGAAATGTTGTATATCGTTTAAACCTGAAGGGTTGAAAAGCGAAGACACAACAGGACACACGTGTCGCCAACTGCTTGAACTGTGAACCCAGCTCGGTGACTACAAGAACCAAGCATTGCAACAACAGAGCTCCAAATTCAAATATCACAGCATGAAGTGCTGTTAACACGTAATGCAGTGAATGTGAAGTGACTTGGAAGAAATGAGATATCTCAGGGTCCTCTGATAGAGGAAGTTGGGTACGTACCTTTGTCCGGGGACACGGAAAGTGGGTCAGAACTCGAAGGCGAACGGTTTTGTCTTATCGATAAGATATTTTTTGCGCTCGCTCTGTAAAACATCCCACCCATTTTTACGTCGCATTTTGTTCCCAGCCATTCTGCGATACCCTCGACCGCTATTCGGACAACTTTCCCCTTGGTCGAATATCACATACAATCTTTCACAATGGCTGCTACAAAGCATCTCCTCGCTGATAGTGAGGATGCCGTCGTCGACCGACCCTCCAAGAAGACCAAGGTCACCGACGTCGACGAGAAGGCTCGTTTAAAGAAGGAGAAGAAGGAGCGCAAGGAGAAGAAGAAAGAAAAGAAGCGCAAGACTGAAGAGGAGGAGATACCTGCTGACAAGGCTGGCGATTCTGAGGCTGAGCGTGCTGAGCGCAAGAAGGCTAAGAAGGAGAAGAAGAAGGAGAAGAAGGCCAAGGCCGCCGAGGAGTCTGCTGAGACTACTGAAGCTGTTGAGGAGGCTCCCAAGGAGAAAAAGTCCAAGAAGGAGAAGAAGGCCAAGGTTTCTTCTGAGTCTTCTGACGACGCTGCCTCCGACGGCGCTTACGTCCAGACCATGAGCCTCTCCAACGTTCCTCAAGCCGAGATTGACGAATTCCTCTCCAAGAACCAGATCACCATTACCGACCCCAAGACCGAGACCGTCACTCTTCGCCCCGTTCTGGAATTCCACCAACTTCCCGCCACAAACCTCCTCGAGAAGAAGCCCTCGCCATTCGCCAACTACAAGGCCCCTACACCTATCCAGTCCGCTTCATGGCCCTTCACTCTCTCTGGCCGCGATGTTATCGGTGTCGCTGAGACGGGATCCGGAAAGACCATGGCTTTCGCACTTCCCTGTGTTGAGGCTGTTTCTGGTGTCCAGCACAAGGGCACCAAGGCTGTTATTGTTTCGCCTACACGAGAACTCGCCATGCAGACTTATGAGCAGATGGCTTCCGTGGCTGCGCTGAACAAGCTCAAGTGTGTGTGTCTCTACGGTGGTGCTTCCAAGGATGATCAGCGAAACCTCCTCCGCCGTGGCGCTGACATCATTGTCGCTACTCCCGGTCGTCTTAAGGACTTCATGTCCGATGGAACCGTTGATCTTAGCCAGGTTACTTTTGCTGTTCTTGACGAGGCCGATCGTATGCTTGACAAGGGCTTCGAGGACGATATCAAGCAGATCCTGGGTGCCTGCCTTCCTCGCGAGAAGCGCCAGACACTCATGTTCACAGCTACATGGCCTCAATCCGTCCAAACCCTCGCCTCTTCCTTCATGGTCAGCCCCGTAAAGATCGCCATTGGACCCGGCGGTAAGGAGACAGCCGATGGATCTGTTGAGCTGCAAGCCAACTCAAGAATTACACAGCGAGTTGAGGTTGTTGAGCCCAGAGATAAGGAGTTCCGTCTGCTTCAGCTTCTGAAGGAGCACCAGCAGGGTAAGCAGAAGAACGACCGTATCTTGGTCTTCTGCCTGTACAAGAAGGAGGCTACACGCGTGGAGAACTTCTTGAGCCGTAAGGGTATCCGTGTTGGTGGTATTCACGGTGATCTGCGACAGGAGCAGCGAACAAGGAGTCTGGAGGCCTTCAAGTCTGGAGCCACTCCTGTTCTTGTCGCTACTGATGTCGCTGCTCGTGGTCTTGATATTCCTGAGGTCAAGCTCGTTATCAACGTTACAGTATGTCCAAACCAAATCACCACCGAATATTCGCTAACATATCTAGTTCCCCTTGACTATTGAAGATTACGTCCACCGCATTGGCCGAACTGGCCGTGCTGGCAAGACTGGTGAGGCCATTACCTTCTTTACCGTTGAGGACAAGTCGCACTCCGGCTCGTAAGTACCTGACACATTCGCAAATGAACATATACTTACTCTCCCAGGCTCGTCAACATTCTCCGAGGTGCCAACCAGCCCGTACCCGAAGATCTTCTCAAGTTCGGCACCACCGTCAAGAAGAAGGCTCACGACATGTACGGCGCTTTCTTCAAGGATGTCGACATGAACGCCAAGTCGACCAAGATCACATTTGATTAAGAAATTACAACTATTATGGGAGCACTATTGTTTTGCGGCTTTGCGACCGCGGACCGAGTTTAGACACTCAAGGATAAAATGGCGCTCGAGGACCAGGCTGCGATGATTAGATGTTGTTTTCAAAAAGTTTGTTTGGTGGGATTTGGTAGACGTACATTAGAAGCAATAATGGGATGGCCGAGCCAACGATCTTGACGAGAGATTTGATCGGTTGATCTGCGTTGTCTACGACTTTTAGTTGCTTGAGAAGGATAGCTGTAGCGATTGAGACGCCGAGTGTGCTCTCGGGAATAAGTGATTTGATCTTGAAGTCGGTTCCATGTCTTTTGAAGAAGCGCTTGATGAATGCTCCGCTCCAGATAATGCGGCATCCCATGTTGATGATGTTGGCTAGGACGAGACCGATAGCGCCGAGAGGGTAGATTCTCATGAAGAGGAAGGCTGATGCTGCGAAGATGACGGAGAATGCGCCCATCCAAACAGACTGGATGTGAACTTCGGCTTCCGTAGCGACTGACGCCACGAATGATTCTGTGAGACCGTTAAGACCCATGAAGGGAATGTAGAAACAGTACGCTGCAAGGACATCACCTGCCCCTGAGCCAGCCCACTGCTTGCCTGCCACAATAGCCAGAAGAGACGGAGCAGCAAAAGGTCCAAGACTGATGATGATTGAAGACAAAAGGATGTAAAGGCGAAGGAGAGTTTGTAGGTTCTGCTTTGCTTCTGTCACTTCCTGAACTGGCTTACCGCCTTGTTTGACAGGTGTTACAGATGACAGCAAGCGAGAGAAGTAACTTCGGCTACTCTCTTCGACAGGCTGGAAGAGAAGACGAGCAAGGAGACTTCCGTAGTTGTTTGCGAGAGCGTATGCGCCTTGGACGTTGGCAGATGCGAGAAAGGAGATGAGAAATGTGTCGCCCTGAGTGAGGAGGTGTTTGACCACGCTCTGGGCCATCATGCTTCCTGCAAGACCTATTGTTGATCGATCAAACATAGAGGCCCAGAAGCGATTGTCCTTTGAGGTTATTGTTTTGGGGAGTAATGAGAAGCCGATTGATGAGGCGAGGTGATATGCTGAGACCAAGTAGACGAGGAGTAGTGAGACACCATAGGTGATCTGTCCAAGGGCAAAAGGCAGGACTCCAATATCATTGTGCTTGGATGCCCAAACAGCAGATCCAAACACAACAATACATCTCAGAAACGTAGCAATCGACTCAGCAGCAGCTCGTGTCCCAAACTGCAGCCTCGTCTGCATAAGAACAAAGCACGGCTCCGACAACAACTCCACCATAGCCGCAAACCCATAAATATACAACGACTCAACCAGATACGGCGTAGCAAGCGTAATCTCGTTCGCATACGCAAGATACATCCACCCTAAACCAAGACTAACAAAACTTCCCAGTCCAATAGCGAGATATCCCAGATTCACCACAGCTTGACTCTCTTCTTTCGCCTGCGAGCCAGAGTCTCGTCGTTGGATAGCTACACGGAGACTTTCGCGCGCAAAGAAGAGAACTGAGAGGTAGTATACCTCGAGTTGAGTTGATAGACCTAGCAGAGGTGCTGTGAGATACCGCAGGAGGAGTTGGTTAGCGATGAATGTTATGAGGCGGGAGGCGAGTTGGAGGATTATGAGAAGTGATGCGCCTTTGATCATTGAGGGCGCTGGGGGGCTCTCTTTTTCTGGGGAGGGGGACATTTTGGCGGTTGGGGAGAAATGAGTGACTGTGGGTGGAGGGAGGATGAGATGAGGTTGAAGATGAAGATATCGCGGATTGTTTGACACGTGTTGATGGGAAATGTGATGTCTCAGTTTTCAGTGGATTACAGTGGATTACAGTGGGAGTTAGAGGTGCGGGAGGGCTAATGCAGGGCGGGACCCGCCTGGGAGCTTTTTGCCGACCTCGCCTTGGCTCAGCTACCTTATGATCATCAGTCAGCGATTGACTTCACCTTTACCACCATAAACCGTGAGAACTCCTTAAGCACTTGTGCTCGCATGCACGTTATTTGAGCCCTTAATCTTGCAGATTTTATCCGAGATTCCAATGCATATCAGAACCCCCTCACTTCCTGGTGTTCCGTGGAATGAATGCTGCATCATATCGGAAATGATCAAATGGTTGGAGTGCCACAGGGTAGAACATCTCAGGACTTCGATGGTAAGGTGATAAGGATGCTAGATAAACTACCTACTAAGGTATGATAATTTATGGTGGACTAGGCAGGCTTGTTGACTGCCTTGGTACCTAAGGTGTTTTGCTTGGGCAGACGAACGGTAGGCGATGCGTCAACATAACACATCCATTTACTTAAAAAGAGACAGAGAAGGAGCTAAGAAATCTCATGTCTCCGCACGAATGGCTTGTTGCTCGACGTCCCAGTCTAATACAGTAAGGAACCTTTCCACAGACAATGAAGCATATGTGCATCTAACACGCAAATATCATGAAGCTTTGTGGAGGCAAGGAGAGACTCGTTGTCATGCCTCAAGGTCGCGGCCGAAGGCAATGGCCGACCAGCGTTTATACAAGAAAACTAATTCACAGCTATGATCAACTAATAGGGAAATCATAGTGATGTATCTACCAAGTAGTAACTGATGATAGTTCGTTTATCACAAAGCCTTACTCAAAGTTAGGCATCTGAGTAGGTAAGTGGCTTGCGTCTGGCTGCAAAGATCATCTCTCGCAGACTGTACCTGCCAAATATTAACCATGTTTCCAGTTCCTTACTTTTGGGCATGAGCCAGTTCAGGCAGAGTTCATCCAACCACGGCCCAACCGAGCACCAGTCTCCCTCCCCAGTCATCTCCATCATCGCAACGTCCATTCATTACACATTACTTCCATCGACTATCAGGCCTAGCATCACTACAACGGCCTTCAGTGTCTCCAATTTTATTGTGAGTACGTTTTACCTTTCAACCATTCGCATCTAGTCTTCCTGAACGATGGGCTACCGAGCTCCTGGACTATCCTCCTCTAACATGACCTCTATAGAAGAACCAGGGCATTCTTTATCTCAGCAGATTAAACCAGACAACTTCACCAAACCAAGATGGCTGCGCAGGATAAAAGAAAGAATAAAAAAAAGCAACAAAAAAAGGAGAAGAAAAAGGGTGGCAAAAATGCCACACCATCCTCCCCAAAAAGTTCATCAGGATCTGAAAACGTTCCCTCGACGGCCGCTATCAAAGAACCCTATACAATCCGTGGAAAGAGCTGGGCATCTGAAGTCGAAGAAGAGATTGAAAACAACCGACGAGCAGGCATCACGATTGAAGATGCAGGAAAGTGCACCTCTGAAGCTTCTGTAACATCACGAAATGCCTCTGAGCAAACGGCCATGGAAAAAGTCCAAGCTTTGCTCCGTGTACCTCCTGTTGCAGATAAGCCAAGGTCCGTGTCCGATGGCCTCGAGCAAGGCCGCGACGAAAAAATCAGAGACGCCCTTCTCAAGGGCGTACGATCAGGGTCTGTTACAGAACAAGATCTCAAAAGATTAATCCTTACGCGTCTCGCATCATTTCCATTTCAACCAGAGAACGCTGCTACGTCTGAGATTGAAACAGACCTTGCCAAGCTCGGCGTATCACTTGATCATCTCCGAGACAAAGATACAAAAAGCGATGTGCCTAGTGGTCTTGCATCATCTCCCACAGCCCCTAACTGTAGCGTAAGAAGCTACAAGGCACCCAAGATCCCTAGCGAGATCGTCGAGGTCGTCGAGGTCAACGAGATCAACGAGATCAACGAGGTCAACGAGAGGGATGAGGTTATCAAGGCCGAGGAGTGGGATTTTCAAGACGAGATCATGGTCGATAAACCCGCTCACAAGAGCGACGTGCCTGTAGATGAGACGGAGAATACTACCAAGGTCAACGGTCACAGTCTTCATTCTCAAAACCCATTTCAAATTCTCGAAACCGATTTTAAGAACGACGCATCTAATGAGGAGGAGACTGAAGTAACAGAGTGCGACCAGTCGGAAGATTCCAATCCCGAAGACAAAAACTCCATCAAGGTCAATTATTGCAGTTCTCAAGCTCAGAAAAAGGTTGATGATAGCCGCTCTATGACCGGCGTACCTTTTAAGGAGAAAGTGGATGGGGTTGATGGCTATGTTTCTCAAACCACAGAAACCAGCCAGTCAGACATCTTCTTCGATGCTCAAGATGTAGGGCCTGCCGGATCTGAAAATTCTAATTCCTGGGGTAAAGAGTCCAAGTCGGATATTATGGGCGAGTTGCACTATGGTGAGCATCAAGACACAGAGCCTCAGGGCCATGCCGATGGCGCAGAATAGTGTGAGGAGGTACTGAAACATTCTGCCTACCATACGCAACTTGCTAAAGAGCAATCGAAACATGCCTCGTTAAAGATTTACCAATGCGAAAAGATGGCTCTGCACGCGGCACATTGCAAACGCCTAGAAAGGGAAAAGAGCAACATCGAGAAACGCATTGATTATCACCGCCAGATAATCATGGATATTGAGGTCGAGATTGAAAAGGGCTAGCAGCCGCCAGAAGAACGATGACCGGTGAAAGAACTCTGCTGATTGTGAGTGTTATTGGGAACAGGAATATATGGATTGGAGCCAAAGTCGTGACTTGAAAAGCGCAAGGAAGAGGAAAGCGTATCTTCATTTTAGTCTGCCATTCATATGGTAGATCATGTAGCGGAGGTCATCAGGACTAGATATCTGGGGGAGTCAAGGATGAAGTCAAGTCAAATGGATAGATGAAGAGACAAAGCGCTGTGATTCACTCTACCAGCATCATTGAGTGCGCATTCGAAAGTGACGTGCAATGTTACATCTGAAGAATAAAGCCAAGCAACACATAACTTGTTCGTCTGTTTCGCCAGATGTTCTAATGTCCATCAGCGCCAACAGTTCAACTCAGTGAATCATGCCCCTTTTGTCATCAAGTACCTAGCGAGTTGCAATAAAGGATTCGTTTCATGTAAGCGGAGGAGCTTCCCCCTTCCCCAGATCCTACGGTAACATGCCCAACCCCGCATAAGCACAGAAGGGCAACGTTATCGGTGATCCAAAGTCAAGTACGCACAGCCAATTCACAAATGTTGGAGATGATATGGGGTGCCCATGGAGTAGCATGCAACTCGGGGGTTGCAGTCAAACATTAGCGGGACAGGTTAAGCATTCAACGGTCCGACAAGAGAGACTAGACTAGGAAGGTCGTAGTTGCAAACCGGACATTGTATTCGTCCAACGGTGGTTATCCCCCCGCGGGGATTGTGATGGAGGATGGAGAAACATACTAATCGACTCCATAATACCGCCGATTCGAAAATGAAGGATTGCACGATTCAAACGTGATGAATATCCCTGCTCATACCTCGAGGGATCCATATTGTGATGCCGGTATCCGTGAGAAACGGTGCAGATCTCGGTGCTTCTGCTAACAAGACTTGGCGCTAGGTGGATTGCCGGTCCGACAAGCTAGTTGACTAGGGTCGTGTTATTGTGGAAATGGTGATGATCATCAACTGACAGAATGGTTCTCGCCCCGACATGCGGGGTTTGGAGTTCTAAGCGATGCTGATGGCGATGGCCCCATGGAGTGAATGTCTGGGGGATCGAGGGATGTGAATCGAGTGGTTTGTTAGTCGAGACTGTTGAATTGGCGTTGAAGAATCAGCCGCTGATCAGTCGAGTTGATATAGGATACATGTTTTTTCACAGGAATAGTTCTTAATATATCGTGATAGTTCAATTGAGCTCTTCAGGACCTGCACCATAACAGAGATCGTGTTCAGTGTAACCAAAGACCGTCTATTGCATATTGCGAGGCTGTAAATTCATAATATCAAACAACTCTGCGTGCATATTGTTGAATCATCAATATAAAGTTAAGGTTAGGGCCTGAATAAGGGTTTCCCATCCTCTCCTCCAACCACAAACACTGCAGCTACAACAGCTCTGCCGCCTCACACACTTTCAGCCTTGCGACGCCTCATTCTAAGCGAAGCGCGACGCCATTCCGCAATCACAATAACGCATGAGACCTGTTTCCACATTCAATGCAGATTTTTATGACATGATGGTATCGGTATGGCAACTCGTAAACGTGAGCTGAAGATTTCCAAGCTGAGCTAGAGTTAGGGGTTATTATTAGAGTAGACGTAAAAGAAAAAGTGTTGGGCCTGAATACCCTCATGAAAAGAAAAGAGACACTTCCACAATAGGGCCGAAGTGGTTGTTGGTCTTTGCGCGCGCTACTTGTGAAGCCGCCGGCTCCGAAGCGTCACCAGCGAAATTGGGCGTCAGCTGCTTTGAACACCTTCTCACAGATTGCTCCTAAACACAAACACCATCAGAGTATTGAATCCATCTACTATTGAAAATTACTCTTGTCTTTCAACTAGATATCTCTAGTTTCTTGTCGTGGCAAAGGATATCGTTAACCAAACCCATTCACCAAAGTTAAACAAGCTTACCAAAAATGGTAATAGGCTCTTCGGCATCTGCGTCGCCGAGCCGGCCTGGCCCGGCTCTTGGCTCGGGGCAAAGGTATCCACTCTTTAACTTACAACCCCAGGCGACGGATATTAGAGTGCGTGTACTCCAAATACCTGAATGTGGAGATGAAGCTTGATTCGTGTCAGGCAGGAAAAAGACCTGGGGAAAATGGAGTTCGTTTGGGGAAGCTTGTTTGCTCTGTCGGTTCTACAGCCAAGACAACGAGATAGTTTACACATACTTGTACGCACTACATCTTTGCTATAGCTGTATCATCATATGGAATAGAGAAACGCCACCATCTACCCGTCTTTTTAGTTCAAGCCGCTCTACACGGCGAAGGCGTTTTATTTCACTCGCCAGTGATGATACTCCTGGGGGAGGGAAGTACCGCCACTACACCAGATCTTTGCTGAACCAATGAACCACATGACCTCCTCACCCCCAGCTTAGCTTTTAACTACACTACCAGACTACACCATCCATCGTAAGTTGATGGTGCGGCTGCTCCGCACTCCACTAGCTCGGACAAGCCGTGGGATAGATAGCTTTAGCTCTAGCTTAGCTTTTTTAGCTCTGGGGGGAATGGAGGGAAGGCCATGTTACGCAAGAGAGTTTTTGTTATGCACGCTGTTCAAGTATAACAACACAGAGCTTATGATGTTTGGGGTTTAAAAAGAGACAATCTCCCGCGTTTGTTTTTGGGCTTGCTCTTCTTTTTTATCATCACACACACACTACACTTGTTTACAACATTAATACTTTTGAGTACACTCTTGTTTGAGTGTCGATCTTCATTATGAACGCACTTCGAAGGGCATCCCTCAGCAAGCCCGAGGAGGCTGGCAAGGCATGGCCTGCTATCGCCATCGGCTTGTTTGTCGCCTTTGGTGGTGTTCTCTACGGGTAAGTCACAACCTTCACCTGAGGATCCATCACAATATTAACAATCGCAGTTATGACACAGGTACCATCTCTGGTATTTTGGCCATGCCCTACTGGCAGCGACTCTTCAGCACAGGCTACACAGACTCCAAGGGCAACCCCAACATCACAACGGGCCAAGAGTCCAGTATCGTCTCCATCCTCTCAGCCGGTACATTCTTCGGCGCTCTCTCCTCTCCATTCATGACTGATTACATCGGTCGTCGTCCCGGTCTCATGATCGCCACTTGGGTGTTTAACCTCGGTGTTGCTCTTCAAACTGCTGCTACTGCTATCCCCATGTTTTTGGCTGGTCGATTCTTCGCCGGTTTTGGTGTTGGTCAAATTTCCGCTATTAGTAAGTTCACCACATACCACATGACAGCTTCAGAGTTCCAGTCTAACATGCTATAGTCCCCCTGTACCAGTCTGAGACAGCTCCAAAGTGGATTCGAGGTGCCATCGTCGGTTCATACCAATGGGCCATCACAATCGGTCTCCTCCTCGCCGCCATCGTAAACAACGCCACGGGCAAGCGCAACGACACCGGCTCATACCGTATCCCTATCGCCGTTCAATTCGCCTACTCCCTCGTCCTCTTCGGTGGCATGATCATCCTCCCCGAAACACCCCGATTCCTCATCAAGAAAGACCGTCACGAGGATGCTTCTCGCGCTCTCTCCAAGATCCGTCGTCTCTCTCCTGATCATCCTGCTGTTCAGGCTGAGCTCAGCGAGATCAAGGCGAACCACGACCATGAGATGAGCCTCGGAACATCTTCATACATTGACTGCTTCAAGCCTCCTATTCTGAAGCGCCAGTTCACTGGCTGTGCTCTCCAGGCTCTTCAGCAGCTCACTGGTATCAACTTCATCGTAAGTTCTCATTTCATCATCTCCTGGTCATGAGGCCTGGCTAACAAACTTTAGTTCTACTACGGTACCAAGTACTTCGAGAACTCGGGTATTTCTAGCGGTTTCACCATTTCCATGATCACATCAGCCATCAACGTCGCTTCCACATTACCTGGAATGTACGCCATTGACAAGTGGGGTCGTCGTCCTCTTCTCCTCTGGGGTGCCATCGGCATGTGTGTCTCTCAGTTCATCGTCGCTATGTGCGGTACCTTCTCCACCGGCCAAGATAGCGCTGGAGTGATCTTCGTCAAGAGTTTGGCTGGCCAGAGGGCTGCTGTCTCTTTCGTCTGTATCTACATCTTCTTCTTCGCCTCAACCTGGGGCCCCCTGGCTTGGGTCGTCACTGGCGAGATCTTCCCTCTCCAGACCCGTGCCAAGTCCCTCAGTATGACCACAGCAACCAACTGGCTCTTCAACTGGGCCATCGCCTACTCCACCCCCTACCTCGTCGACTACGGTTCCGGCAAGGCCAACCTCCAGTCTAAGATCTTCTTCATCTGGTTCGGCTGCTGTTTCCTGTGCATCGCCTTCGTCTACTTCTTCATCTACGAGACCAAGGGCCTCTCCCTTGAGGAGGTTGATCAGCTCTACGACGAAGTCACCGTTGCCAGCAAGTCTATCGGGTGGAAGCCCCATGACACCTGGGAGCACCGCAACAGTGTTGCTGGGGCTGGTAACAAGATGTTCAACGAGGGTCATGAGCAGGGCGAGGTTTCTCACACTGAGAAGAATGAGGTTTAAAGAAATAGAATCTTGTAATGATATTGATTGATGAGGAAGATGTTGGTGGGATTACCGAATTTGGACGTTCTGCTGGTCGGCGCTCCACATGAGCCGACCAGATCGGCCCCACACGGTCGGAAGTCTACAATTATGAGATGAATAGCTGATATCCATGAATTTATTACTTTGTTCATTTGATTTCCACAAATAATGTGACTCCATACGTGATGTACAAGAATGTGTCGACGCAGATCGATATCAGTACCTCTAACATTCACATGTGTCCTACGAAGAAGAAAACCTTACATCTTCTGGGTTTGTATCAAGGTTGAAGCACAAAGTCTAGAGACGACCCAGGCACTGTATGTCTTCATTCAACACTACATACGGTCATTTCATAGGCCGAGCAGCGCATAGAGTACAGCATGGCGCCCCTTATGTAAGGCCACCCAGCCTCACGTGCTGTGGTGGAGGAGGGACTTGCGAGGTGTATGGATGTACGGACCGATGTGTTCATCATCGGATATTCACTTCAATAGGCTTTCAAAGACTAAAACTCACCGTAAGAGATTTCTATGGACGCTTAAGGCTTATTTCGCTCAGATATCACGATGCTTGGAGCCACAGACTTAGAACTTATGACCAAAGGGTTCCTTCCAAGGAGCTTGTAGTTACTATCTTACACTTGATACAAAGGTTTCAATAAAGCCATATATGGAAACTCCATTCATCAGAGTTGTCTAATTTCTACTCTGGCCCACCAGATAATGTCTGCGATAAAAATGACTCTCTAGTCTATTCCAACTGAACAGATTCATTCACGCCGATGTTAACATGTCCCTCATCTAATATGTTAGGCGTCTAAGCAAAAACAAAAAAGCCGGTTAGTATAACTTTTACATCCTTTCACCCTTCTTCTGCTTGAGCGTGACAGTCATTTCGTCCCTCTCGTTCCCATTGTCCCCATCCGCGTTGTCAGGCCTAGATAGCAGCACCAGGTTGATCCCCTGCGACTTTCACTGGAGTTCCCCTAAGAAACATGCAAGCGCCTCTAATCACCCATGGTATCTGTTGCGTCGTATGTTAGATCAATGAAGCGGGTGGACGGTATTCCAACTTACCACAAGGACTTTCTAATGTGATATATACCAAGCTTCGAGGCAATTTGTTGTTGTTCATCTCTCGATAAGCAACATTGTTTATTGAGGCATGGGGTGACTGGGAATAGGGAGGAGGGCGAGGCTCTTGGCGAGCATGATGGGGTTGGTGATCATATCGAGGATGATGGATAGGGAATCTTCCATAAACTTGGGGATTAAAGTCGGGATTCGCTTCCTGTCTGCTTTGGACTGGTTTTCCGACATCTTGGGGAAGTTAACCTAGGCCAAGCCTCTGCAGTCAAATTATTAGCTCGTTCTGCCAGTTTCTTCTCGGCAGTTGTTCGCTCAGATCCCTTGAAGTCGATGAGGAAATCGATATTCTTGAGTGCTCAAGAAAAGATCATTTGCTGAGATCGAGCCTGTGGTGACCTCTCCTACTCCAATACGATCATAACCGGCTTTTTCTATAACTTTCTTACAAAGGGTTATCTTCGTGTGGTCCAGCGATAATTCTCATCACCTCGTTCGCTTCCTCTTGCTTGGTCGTGTGCTTTCGCTCTCTAGCGTTTTATATGAAGCAATCATGGAAACTCTCATCTTATGCAACTCGGCGAGGATGTGCGGATCGTGGCTGCAACGGGGTGAAGGGTGAAGAGCCCCCTGAGGGTCCACGTTGGGCATGAGTTCAGGTCTTGGCCACGGACTGCAGACAAGTCGGGTCACGTCGGTCTTTGTGTGTTGCCCTTGAATCAAGCCTTTCAGGAATTTTTTGACCAGAACGTTTCGTTTATGTAATATGAGAACAGTTTTGTAACCGTCACACGGAGTGGTGCGGCTCACTCTTGGGTTCTGCTACCTCTCGGACAATCCACGCTCACGCAATGAACTGTCGATCTGTTCCACGAGGAAGGGCTCGATGACTCATGGAATAGTTCTCCCATTTTAACAACATGAAATGATCGACGAAATCTTCGAGATCCATAAGTGCTGTCGCAGCTGTGAGTGTGAAATCTGGGTTAAAGATTCGATACAGTTTCAGTAGTGCGCTTCTGTTCATTCTTCGATGATAATCGTGTGACAAAATGAAGTATATAGGGATAGAGGAGGATATATCGATATAAGGACGCCTGTGTAGTACATGATCCAGCTTATCTGTCTAGTCATGCCCTACATTTGTAGAAACCGCTTTCTGATGGGGTTGCCATCGGCATTTCGAAGCTCAGATTTGTCTGGCTTGTTGCCCCCATCGAGCAGCCCGTTGTGGTTTAACAAATTGTGTCGTATGGTCGTGTCTGCGTGCACTGGGACTGAATTTGCGGATCGACTGATTGGGTTAGGATCTTCCGTTAACATGAGATGAGGTAGGCTTACCTGGCACAGGTAGAAGTTCCCCGTCGGTTCTAGATCGGCTCTTGCAGACTGCCTAGGGACTCTCTAATATAAAAATATATGTCACTGTCCTTTCCTCCGACTTGGATGCCAAATCTTGGTGTCTTTTCTTGCGTGTTTAGGCGGGTTTTGTGTGCTCCCCTAACCATAAGTCAAGGGTCTATAAGGCGACTTTTAGGCCAACTTGTGCAGCTGTGCTTATATAGAAACGTGGGTTAGCGGAGACGTATGGCTGAAATTATTTCTGCAGATGGGGTTCCCATCCTGTAAGTGATGATTATGGTCGCGGCATGGGGTAGCTGGTAGAAACAGCGGATCATAAGGCCAGTTCCCAGGTATTCTCCCTTGAGTTCTTCTGCAATCTCCGGGTCTTCTCTCAGCAGCTGGTTAAACATATGTAATATGGAAGGATGCCGCAGCGGACGCGTTTGGTGGGGATAGTTCCGCCTTGTGAGAGGGGGGAGAGAACTTGTTGAGCCGCTCATTAAGCATGATGGCTCCAATAAGATCCCCCATGCAACAAAAGATCATTACTATAAGTTTGTGTTTCTAGATTTACAGGGACCCTGTGGCCCTTCTTGAGGGCGTTTGGCCTGGTAGTGTAGTAGGTGACTGTCTCGGTCGTGTTCACACCTAGGATCTTGGTTGCAAGCTTCTTGTTGTATTCTTCCTTGTAGATGTTGAGCCATAGACAAGTGTCAATGGCGAAAACTTCAGCATCTGCAATGCATGTACAAGCATAAACTTCAGATGGTCAAAATTCATATACCCTCGACTAGAGCTGTAGAAGCCAATGTTGTCTGGTGTGTTGGACTTATGGCAGTGAGGTGATCTTCGTCATTGTCAAAACTATAATGCTCATTATATATTGGCATTCTCAAGTTTATATATGCACGTAAGATCGCCCTTCAACTGCTGTAGAATATCGCGATGTATTCTCTGAGTGCGACTGTAAAAGCCCAGCGGACTTTTGGTCCTGTCGAGGTCGTAAAGGTCTGGAATCTTGCTACCCTAGAATATCAGGGTTCATTGTGGGTAGACTGAGGAGAAAGCAGGATACATCTTGGATATGATAGAGAGCCCGAAGGAAGGATAATATATTAATGGGTGTAAAACGAGGAATAGCATAAGTACAGAAGCCGTATTGTAGGCGGATTGGACGGGAACGAGGCAGGAAGCAGTGCCAAGTTGGCAGCAATCGTGAACATAACTTTTAAGTATAATAGACACCAAGTCCATCTTCTTCGCTCATGGACTGGGCGGTATCACGGCGAATGGTTATGGATCAACGCTATCATTATTAACTGCCCTTGTTGGTTTTCCTCAGCAGTATTCGTATGTGAGTAACTCCGAAACTGGCCACCTAGAATAAACTTTCTGCTCTCCCCAGCCTAGGCGAGCGTCTGCGCATAGGGATACGCTATGTGCCTGTGGAGATCGGCAAGTGCTTGCGTATTGTTGTGTAACATGAGGTCGTAGAAGGACTTCTGTGTGATATGGAATATGCTATCTCTGCTGGCTTCAAAAGGGATAAAGGCCTCATGGACAATTGCAGGGTAGGTTAAAGTAAAAAATTTGTTAAGAGGCGCGGTGTCGGTGTGCTTGTACAGGCCTTGACGTCTGTCCATGCAGGCTATAGTGATAGGGAGAATACCCGGCAGACTCTGTCAAGTCGCCGATGAGTATCACAGCCTGTCGGGAGTAGAACTGTTCTTCAAATAGTGAAACAATGGAGACTCTTTTCTGTCTTTGCAGAAGTTAAGTCAACAGTGATTTTTCACTGATCCCCATATCCCATCGACCTTGTGCAATTTTCTGAGTGCTGGGCTGGCGTTGACCTTTTACCCATCCACAGCATGCAGCGGGCCTGAATGATCACTCGCTGCTGGTTCTGGTGATTGATGAAAGACTGCAGGTTGCGGCGGATTCCGCAACCGTTGGTTCACCCTCTGGGGGTTGTTGGGTTGAGGACTTCGTTGAGGCGAGCTCCGATGAGATGGGATAAGTAATAATAAGAGTTCATGGCTACCAGGTGATCATAACAAAAGTTCGTTACGTCTAGAACCCGTCTCGGATGGATTAGGTTCATGTATCACTACGACTAGTCGAAGCTGTTGCCAGCGCGTGTTGTGAGCCGATGAGTGCCTGGACAGCACGGTCGCCGAAGATCGCGTAGGGCTCGTAGGGTACCTTGGTCGAAGATCTCGAGTTTGGCTTATACATGGGGTGGTGAAATGGCCTTATTGGATAGACAGTATGTGACAGTAAATGATCATTCGCTACAGGCGCGTAGGCCTGGGTTGTTGCCTGCCTGCTCCCCGTAGTCGAAATTGTAATTCATAGAGAATGCAGTGGATGGTGTCGGGCTCACAACCATGTGGTACTCATGAGGCTGGGTGACTATAAAGTCACCCCGGCGCCGGACATGGATGGTATAGCGAATACCTTCCTTGTCTAGGTGGTCTGTTAAGATTTGCAGTGTCGCATTGTTGCTTCCCGGTATACCGCAATGAGTCTTCAATCTGCTCATCATCTCAGAGGAAGAAATGGTTTCAATGGTTGGATTTGGGAACATTGTACTCAGCGGCTCAATAATTGTGAGTGCATGAGAGAACGTGCTGGTCTGGGGTCATAATGATACCGGGTGGCGTATGAACTTGGCGCAGAGCTCATCCTTGACATGCTGTTTGGCGAATATATTTATAAAGAAGCCGATCTGCATGATGGTACCAACTGCACCCTGAGTGAAATCGGACAAGTACTGCGACTTGCTGGTGAAAATGTTGAACAGTATCTGGTCCATTAAGACTAAGGACTCTTTGGTCATATAGCTCGTCGTCTTCCGTCTTCGTCTTCCATGAGACGACAAGGGTAGTAAGGGCAAGTAAGAGCGTGTCGTATGACATCTGTTTTACCATCTGGTTGAGAGCAGAATTCATATGAGTAGACTGAAGATACACAATATAACGGACTTCATCTAGAACCACGCTTTCCGCGTGGAGCTAAGTTGAAAGTCCCTAACTTCCTCTACCTTGTCCTCGCGGAGTGAGTTTGGACCATGAGAATGTACGCTGGTACCCCTGATTGGGTTATGTCGCACTTTAGTAAACGAAAGGCGTATGAAAGCCTTCTTAAGTGAGAGCCTGAGTATCTCAGAGGCATGTACTAAACACTAACTTAAAAGCTCTCCACATTGCACCAAATGGCGAAAGTTTGAACCATGGTGTCCGGGTGTAGGCGGATTCTCCATGTTGGTCTGCCAAGACGATGCTGGGGATCAATACCGCCCAACTTCTCAATAGCATGCCCATATTGTTGAAGAAGGTAGGGGTTTTAGATATCCCGATATAGAGCCTCTTGCTGTGTTGCAGTGTCCATGGTAGCCCAGGGACCCGGTTGCAGAATTCTCCTTCATGTACCCCTACATGAGGGGATACCAGAATTTGCCCAACAGTGGTGGGTGCCACCAAGATCATCCCTAAAAAGGCCATTGCTGTTGTGCAAGACATTATCATAATATATAGATTTGTATTTGGAAGGACATCTGCTGGGGCAATGATGCGGTACTGGCATGTTGCTAAGCCATTCATGGTGCTCAAGGTCTAGTTTGTGTTGGCCAGAGAATCACAAGTTCAGGGATATGCAGGCGATATTTCCCAAATTTGAGTCGAAAGTCTTCAATTGTTCTTTGAGGAGACTGATTATACTTTATGGCTCGGTACCAACGCTTCAGTGTTGAAACTGTATCCGGTGGCCAGTCAGGGCTTTCGGGGACTTGAGGTTCGACCTCCTTGATGGCGGTGTTGGCGCGCTTGCGCTTCTTCCTGGTGCGTTAGGCGCCTTTGAAGAAACTGTTGAAAATCTGGGTTGACCAAGGGGTCCCCCGCCAGGTTTTTGTCTGAAAAACCAACCGTCGTCATACTGAATACATATATAGATGTTGCCAGGGTTCTCGCTGTTCAAGACCTCCTTAGGGTCGTCAATGACAGTGAGCTTATCGTTGGCCACAATGGCAAGGATGTTCAGAAGATCCTTCCAGTATCCGTAAGCGACACCATTCTTGACATCAAACTTGGCCGAGTTATCATCGTTCTGGCCGATAGCTGAGCATGTATACACTGGTCATGAAGATGATGATGGCTATGTTCTCTCGGGTGATTCTCAATCCTTGACGAGGGTTGAGGATGTAGGGTGAGGAATCGCTCGATGTTGTCATAGTAGAAGTCGAGGGTCGGTTCGGCTCCTTATGCGGCCGCCTAACCTACACTCTCCTGGAGCCCCTTCTTGGAATTGAGGACCCGGACGTATCGCAGCCTGGGTTCCTGGGAGCTGTGTTCATCGCGGAGGCGCTCGAGACGGTCGGTTGGGTTCCACCTCATGCTCGTAAAATGCTGACTCTAGCTCGGACGTCTTGTAGCGTGCTTGTGGCCGTGGCATCCTGCGTTGGAGGCGGTGTGGTGGCTATGTCGGTGATGGTTATGAAGAAGCAGCACGATGCAGAAGCAGTGAAAATGATGGATGGTCAGAGCTAGGTTCGTGGGTGAAGGCCAGGCCTTTGACCATACTTTGGATGATGACTGCACACTATTCCAAAGAGCACTTGGGGATTGTAGCTTTGGCAGTCTAATCGAACGCCACAGAACAAGTATATAATAGCAGACATATGAAGTGCCGCCGTTTAAATCGACTTTGGCTTTTTCATCTGCGGGCTCGCTGATGGAACTAGACTTTTTCCCCAACGACACACCTATCCACTCATATGTTAGTCATGCGAATAGCCATCTAGATTGAGTGGGTAGCTTACCATGTTTACCGTTCCAGAAAGTAAGTAAACTGCATTTGTGCCTGATCTTCATTCATAAAAGCGCTAATGAGACGAGTCATTCCAATATACGGTCCATTTCGCATGTTGGCAGAACCGCGATGTATATAGATTTCAAGCGGCTTGCCGACACTCCTCAGCAAGGTTGGTGCTTCCCATCCTTCATCCCTAGAGGCGCTCTCTGTCTGGACGTTAGCACTTCAAGTAAGGCCAATGGTAAAGTAACATAGATACCTTGTTATAGCCGTTTGATCCATTCTTCCGCAGTCGATAGGACGGACTGTTGTGGTCGCTTCTCGCGCTGATGCCGTCTCCTGGCGTGAGCTTGAAGTTCTCATCCCAAGTTGCTGTATGGAAGACAAGGCCTGTCAGGACCACGGAGACATTTTCGAGATCCTGAACCCAAGGGAGAGAAAAAGAATATACATATATATATGTCAAGATGCTGCCATTGCTGCAACTGGGTCTGAGTTGGAAAGTTGGCTGGGTTCAACTCGGGGGGTTTCAGGGTCTTTATACTTTTCAGAGATGGGCGTTACATAATCGTGTTTTTACTTGCCATCATTTCCCCATATGCTGGCCGTGACGTTTTCATTGGTGTTTGTCTGAGCTTGCCTTCTGCCTAAGCAAGGAGCAAACATTTACCATGGACAAACCGCTGCACAATCGAGTTTTCTTCAGCACCATAATGAACAATTGCAATCAATTTTAGTATTTATGCTTGGTGACATCACGCCCATTGCGTATCGAATTCCATGTTTGACTTGTTATCACCAAACGCCTTGTGCAGTGGTTTCCATCCCACTGACAAACCTGACCAAAAACTAGAGCAACAATTGTTGTCTCTCCAATCCTTGCGTCGTTTTACTTTGCTGCTGGGCAAAGAACGGTCTTTATCCGTGAGGTGCCCTCTCTGTCGTTTCCTGCGGCAGTCACTCAGTTCTCCGGTCCAGCAGCACGTCGCCGTTTCGCAGCACGTTCAGTCTCCTGTTCTCGGGGTGGAGAGATGACAGAAGGCGTGGCTGAAGACCGCTCAAGTTTCTCCGTATACTCTCTTTCTTTGGTGGCCCAGTGCTCAGAGACTCTGCGCTCTGCGTCAAGCCTTTTCTGTAGTTTCTCTGAGGCATTCTTTGAGGCACTGGACTTCTCCTTAAAGTGATCTCGCTTACGCTCTTGAACTTTTCGAATTAGTTCCTTTGTTTCCTGGACCTGATCCATGAGCTCTTTCTCTCTGTTTTCGAGTGCAGCCTCCAGTTCGTCGAGTGTGTCTATGTCGGTAATGGCATCGATTTTGCTAATATCGGGAATTGTGTCTTCCTCATCTTCCTCCTGTTCTTCCTCTTGCTCGTCATGCTGTTGTTCCTCTTGCGCTTGCTCTTGCTCTTCCTCTTGCTGTTCCTCGTCCTCTTGTTTAACGTATTCTTCCTCCTCTTCATTGTCTTCACCATTTCCTGCTGAGCTTTCATCGTCTCGTTCCTCGGTCTCACTCGGTTTCTCGCCCATGAACAGTTTCATTTCGCGGTCTCTGTCGTTGAGCATGGGATAATGGTCTGGGCCGCGCCACATATCAGGGACACCCCAGTACTTCGAGAACGCTTTTGCGATGGTTTGAACGTGTTTACTGTCAGGCCATACGGCCTGGAGCACCAGCAGGTAAGGATAGTAATAGTATTCCGGGTCATTTATCTGGCCCCTTCCTTTGATCTTGACGTAGAAGGGATGTATGCTTGGGTGCGCGTAACCTCGGTATCGGCGGTGTTTTTCCATGGCCTCAATCGTCTGTTTTGCAGCTGGTCCGCACATGCGTGGCTTGGCTCTTTCGAAAGCCATCCAGAGCAATTGATCCTCATTTGACATCTTGTGATTTTCTATATCTGTAGGCCTCATTAATGCAGTCTTGCGCTTTGGCTTTGGACAGCTGCTCTAACTCATCTTTCCTGAGCAAGGTTTCGCATTAAAAACCTCAGGGCTCGGGCTCATTCGTATTTAAGAGATTGAATGTATCATTGGGAATTTCAATATATCTCCCCGTATCTCCGGAAGTGGCTGAATGGTGGAATCAGAGGTTGTGGTGATGGTGAGAAAAGAAGAAATGAGAACGAAATGAAAGCAGAGTTTGTTGTTATGAAGCGAGCGTGGGCAATGAATCAGAGGTTCACGGCTCTGCTTTTTTTTTTCGCATGCGCATTTCTATGCAGAACTAAGGAGTCAAACTCAGGCAGAAACTCCTGTTCTTCCAAGCCTTGATAGGTTTGAGAAACAATACTTCAGACTGGATAACAACTGCACATTCGCTAATTTATACTCAATTCACTGCAATAGTTTCTTCAATACACCACAAAAGATTCCATATATTAATCTACAAACTGGCAATTATAATCTTTAACTCAGTTTCAGTCATACTCTTAAACTTAATTGAAGCCTTCTGAGAAGCTATTCAGCATCTGGTGTCTTACTCCTACCCAAGTCAGGGTACAGAAGGCGTTTCAAGAAAGCATGGACGTGCATTTGTATTCCAAGGTCTCTACAAGTCTCTCATCTTCTGCTTATCAAGTCTATAGGTTCCATCCTTTTCCATATTCTACCAGCGCTCACTCCATGAAGATCCGATCGACTTCCCAGCGTTAGGAGATATAGACAGGCATATCACTCCCAAACAGATTCCCCTTCTGAATCTGAACATCATCGCGATGGAAGTCATGCAACATCAGCCAGCAGATCATCCTTAGAACAAAAGTATACCAAACTTCCTTCGCAGCGCGAAGATACGCCGCATACTCAGCTGTTTGTGCGGCCTCCCCCTTGACAACATGGAATTCGGAATCTGAGTTTTTGAGGTTGAAGAATGTTGACGATGCGGATCTTAGCACGGCGGGGAGAATTTGTTGGAAGTATGCTTTCATTAGGGTATCCTCTTTGTTGGTTGCGTTGGCACCTTCGAAGCGTGGGAATGTTTGGGTGGAAGGGGCACTGGGTTGGCTGTTTATTTGGGAGAGAAGTTCTTCGAAATGAGCGCCGATGACTTGCTGTCCGAGAGACAACAGCGGGTTGCCATGTTTCGATCTGGAATATGGTTCGAGTAACTCATCCAGTTCATCGAGGACAGAGTGGAGAGTGTCCTGTGCTTGCCAAGTATAGTTCTGCGGGGTGCCATCCCCAGGTCGAATTCCTGTCTTCGGCGCGAAGATGGTATTCACATGAAGGGAGAGTTGTCCGTTTGTCATGTCGGAATCTTCTTGAAGATATCGCTGATATGCAACCAGAAGCTTGGGCAGAGAGAAGCCTCTCGTGCTCCAGACGCAGTAGCATGGGTTCGGGATGTATCTGAAGCAGATATCCTTGATGTGGAAGACCTGGCTGATCATTCCGATGAGTTCAAAAGTGACTATCTCATGTTAGTGACCAGTTACTCGTGGTATAATGGGGGAGCCTACTTGGGAACATATGAGATGTTACAGCTCCATCTCTCAAAAAGTAATTGACCGCCTTGCGTCCACATCCAAACGAAGCCAACGTCTCCGCAATCTCCGTCCGACTCCCCAGCCCAACATATGGCCACTCATACAGCGTTTTGCTACCTTTATACTCAGGATGTCCCTCAGTAAATATCGTAGGAAGTTGTCCAAAAGCAAGTCTCGTCACCGCTTTCATCGGAACCGTCCTATTCCCTTCAAAAACAGCCTTCTCCAGCGCTTGAAAGTGAAACATAATCCCAAGTCCGCTGATCTTGTGACCCTTCACAAGAAAGCCATTTCCTTCGGCTTGGTATACATTGTGGAAAGTGTTGAAGTCTTTCCAGTATATACCCAGCATAGCGAGCATCTCTATCAAGCTGCTCATGGTGGTGGTTGCGTAGGGACGATTGATGGATGGGGGCATGTCATCCCAGCTTTTCTTCTCGCGTTGAAGCGCGACGTTGAGCGTGTGTTTACCAGCGATGGATGTGAGTATTGCTGTCGCACTGGCTGGTCGAGGCCTCAAGCCCATGATCTGCTGCCGAGTCCAATTCTGCGATTCGTTCTCCATCTTTTGTAAATTTGATAGTAGCGTGAGCCAAGTTGCGCGCTCATTTTTAATGAAACGCCCTGTCTTGGTCATTGTACCGGTAGGTGGTGGCTCAAGATCAGTCCATGTATCATCAAGACTCTTTCTCGTTCCATCGATGAGAAACACCTGCGCGCCATCAATAGGTCCCTTTGCAGTCTTCGAAGTAGCGACAAAGATAACGGGGACTTCGAATTGGATCTCTGTTCTAAACTCCTTTGGTCGCCAAGCTTTAGTCCGGGATTGATGCCATCGCCCCATGACATTCTCACCACAATTCGGCGGCGATCTGAATTGCTTCAGCGAGAACGGCGCTCCTGGGGGAGGTTCCACTGGAGACTTTACAACACTTCTTGTTGTGATGGCTCTCATGAGATCTCGAGATATGCGCTGATTGCCGCTCATCTGTGTATAAAACTCGGGGTGTTGAAGTTCAGTTCTGCTCATGATCGGAAAGGCTGACAAGATGGATGAGTCGTCGGCGAGACTGAAACTTGTCATTACTGAACCTGTCATGGAGCGGCCTTTGGTAGAGTGTATTGAGAAAGCGTCCGTTGAGTTGTAGACGCGCTTGTAGACGTCCGTCTTCTCAAGCGCTGCCTCGAATTCGCGACGTGGTGGTGAAGTTGTACCGTTGCTGTCACTCTTCGTCGAAGTTTCCGCTGAAGTTGAGCGCCTGAGTTTTGGCATTCCTAATTCCGGGACACTCGATGTCGGGAAGCTCAGTGACCGTTCTGCGCTTGCATGGAAGCCATTCCATTCATCCTGGTCGTATTTCCGCGATGTCGCTACTGAATCTGTTTCTGTGATGTCGTCTTCTTTCCAGTGATGTAGAGTTGGAGCCATCGATGATCGGTTTGAAGGGATCAAAGTGGAGTTGTCGGCGATGAATTTGTTGAAGAGCGCTTCGAGACCTTCGATGCGTCTTTGGGTTGCTTCGCTGCTGTTGAGGACTGCATCAATCTTGAGTTCCAGCGCGCGCTGTGATTCCCCGATAACCACGTCTGACTCGCTTCTTCTTGTCAGCGCCTTCGATATCTCGATGTTACAAGACTTACCATTGCAAAATGTTCAAGATGAGAGTGACAGATCCCTTGTGCGCTTGAAGCTGCCGAATATACTTAACAACATCATCCTGCACCCTCAGCCACTTCACCCGATCCCACCTCGTCAAAACAACCTTCCCGTCCTCATTCAAGGGTTTAAGCGTGGTGATGAGATGATCACACGTTTTGATCAACTCGCTTATCGTGACAGTCGCATCATGAATACCAACCGACATCCTCGCCGCTTTCGGCACCGAATCCGGATCATCGATTAAACTCTTGAGGCGTTTAATCGCCCAGTTGATCTCTTTTGTTTCAGCGTGCGCCCAGAATACTGTTCGGGGACAGTTTTCGATGCTGGTTTTGACGGTGTCAAACGTTTTTATCACAGCGGCTGAGACTGTGAGAAGGCCTGCTACGCCGCTGGCGATGCTGAGGGGGTCCATGGCCGAGGGAGCAAGTCGATGATGGATTGTTGAACGGCATTGTAAAATTCATTGCGGAGGGATGGGGGCTATAGATATGGTAGGGGTGCTCAGCTCAAAATCAGGCTGCGACTGCTTAGCTGCGATAGGGTAGATGATATGCAGCTGTTGAGCGATATTGCCTCGATGATGTAGTCATTCGCATCTTGGGCTTGGCGTAGGGCTGGAGGGTTAGGCTCTCCGGCTGACAAATGAGGTATAGCAAGATCGATCGTCGGAAATGTATTTAGCATGGGTCGATTCTGATGCATCTTCTCAAAGCAGGACTGTGTCTTGTGCACCTTATCCTCAGTTTGCTCTCGCCTGTGACACTGCTGAGGGATGGCAGCCGATGGGCCAAACGAGGGCAAACAAATTATGCGTTACGTACTCGCCTGAGCTACGAGACATGTCACATATTGAGGTTGGGATATGCATGGTCTACAGTAGTTTGGTTAGTTTGTCCATCTTTGCTGTTGTGCATGTGAATAGTCTAGGGTGGCTTGTTACACCTGGACAATATTATCAGACCAAAACTACCACCTTGAGAGCTTTAACAACTGATAAACATAACCTGAATTGTCACTTGAAACATTAAAAGGAAGCCTGGGCTTATTGATAATCCTTCAACATGCACCCTCAACTTGGCATTACTGTAAGACCTTCCAATACAGTAGTGAAGCCCCGTCCATGCATCCAGCCGCAAAATCCGACTAGGATCCTCAACGTAATCACCAACAACTAGACTCACTTCCCCTCCTTCTCCAGCCCTACAAGCCTAGGTGGGCTGACATGCGGCACGCTACAGGGGTATCACGGCCCGTGAAAATGGGACTTTTGGGGGCCAAGCTCTATCGTCGTTGGACACAGCTACAGAAACGGGCGGGTAAAGCGACGCCCGTTTTGGTTACATTTTTCTCTCAGCTACTCTGCATGGATGAGTTACTCCTTAGTGTTGCATCTCGGGGTCTTTTGATGAGTTGGCTGCTTACAGGGCTGAAAGCTGAGATGTCGTTAAGCGCTGTGTTTCTCGGCGTGCATGATTGTATGAGGATAAAAGGTCAGCAAGTCTCCTCTTCTCCTCTCCTTCTTTTCACTCTGTTTTATGACTTTAGTGAGGAGTTTATCTTGATGACCGTTGGTTTAAATAGTCAGACAAGATGCCTTCATCTTCTTCCTCTAGTTCTACCTCCGCAAGCCCGTCTTTTGCCGAAATTGCGTCTGGTGTCGCTGATCTTGGTGATAGATCCAAAGTCACGCCTCAACAAGCGATTGACAAGTTTTGGAAACAATTCACTACCAAGAATCCAGGCAAAGGTACTCCCCCAAGACACTCTCAAACCAAAAATATACTGACAGGCTACAGCAACTACTGTCATTCCCTCAAACACATACACTGATCTCGCCGCCAAAAGAGGTAACCAAGTAACAACCACAACAACCCAAGCATCCTACGAAGACGCCGCAGCAACATGCCGCGCCAAAGTCGAAAAGATCGTCAAAGAATGCCGCCGCATCAACAAAAAGTACCGCGATCCTCACTTTGACATTGAAGTTGATCTCAAGCTCTACCGCAACGATTGTCTGCACTCTCTCTCCAATGTTGAGAACTATCAGCCCGGTGAAGATCTTCGTCCACAGAGCGTGAAGCGCGTTGGTGATATTTTCGACAAGCCTTGCTTTTACATTGATGGTCCTACTGCGAATGATGTTAGACAGGGAAGGGATGGTGATTGTTGGCTCATGGCGGCTCTGTGTACGCTTAGTGAGAAGCCCGGGTTGATCGAGAGGCTTTGTGTTGCGCATGATCAGGATGTTGGTGTTTATGGGTTTGTGTTTTATCGGGATGGGGCTTGGATTTCTGAGATTGTTGACGATTTCGTAAGTTTCCCATTGCGTGTCGTGGCACGAAACTGACAAACTGTAGCTGTACCTCATCAAGCCGGACTATGATGAGGGGTACTTTGACAGAATCCTCTTTGATGACGTTGAGCGCGTTGACCCGGATGAAGCGTACCGTCGCATCTTCCAGTCAAACAGCAGTGCGCTGTACTTTGCTCAGTGTCAGCATCCTCAAGAGACTTGGCTGCCTCTTCTCGAGAAGTGTTATGCCAAGGCTCACGGAGACTACGGTGCCATTGAGGGCGGTTTCGGAGGCGAGGGTATTGAGGATCTTACCGGAGGTGTTACCTCTGAGCTTCTGACCACGGATATTCTTGACAAAGTATGTTCCACAACGTCAATGCACGTATCACAGTACTAATTAGTGTGTAGGAGTACTTCTGGAAGGAAGAATTGCTCAAGGTCAACCAAGAGTTCCTCTTCGGCTGCAACACTGGCATCTGGGGCCGTGGCTGGGGTGAGCGCAAGGGCATTGTAGAACTGCATGCCTACTCCATCCAGAAAGCTGTCGAAATTGATGGCAAGCGTCTCCTCAAGCTCAAGAACCCTTGGGGTAAAGGTGAATGGACTGGTCCATGGAGTAAGTCAACCCCAACATTACCAGGTTGAACAAATGCTGATCAAGTACAGGCGACGGCTCCAAGGAGTGGACTGCCGAGTGGCTTCAAAAGCTCGACCACCGCTTCGGAGATGATGGAGATTTCTGGATCTCTTATGAAGACCTGCTTAGGAAGTATCAGGCCTTCGAGAGAACCCGTCTCTTCACCGACGACTGGCGCGTCAGTCAGCTCTGGACTACACTATCTGTCCCTTGGGCATTGGACTACCACGACACTCACTTTTCCTTCACCCTCTCCAAGTCTGGCTCTGTTGTCCTTGTCCTCGCTCAGCTTGATGATCGTTACTTCAGAGGTCTCGAGGGCCAGTACATGTTTGAGCTTGGTTTCCGTCTTCACAAGGCCGGTCACTCTGACTACGTTGTGCGAAGCCAGACACCATACCGCATGACGCGCTCCGTCAACGTTGAGCTTGAGCTTGAAGCTGGTGATTACGAAGTACGCGTCAAGATCAACGCCACTCGCAATCAAGACATCTTGCCTATCGAGAAGGTCATCAAAGACAACGCCAAGTCCCGTCGCGAGAAGCTTCTCCGTATTGGTCTCGCCTACGATCTCGGCCACTGCAAGGGTCGTTTCGTTGAGACTCCAGAGGAGAAAGCAGCGCGAAAAGAGCATGAAGCTAAGCTCAAGCAGAAGAAGCGAGATAAGATCAAGGCAAAGCTTCTCAAGGAGCGCGAAGAGACTCATTATCTTGCTACACGACAGTTCGCGCGGGATGAGCATAGGCGACTGAAGAGAAAGGAGAAGCTTGCTCTCAAGAAAGCTGCCAAGAAGGCGAGACAAGAGGCTCGTAAGGCTGAGAAGGCGGCCAAGAAGGCGGAAAAGGCTGCGAAGAAGGCAGCTGAAGCTGAAGCTAAAGCCAAGATTGAGGCAGAGGAAGCTGCGAAGAAAGAGAAGGAGGAAGAGACTGAGAGGGCAGAGGCTGCGAAGGAAGAAAGGGTTGAGTCTGGTGAGGAGAAGGCTGAGTCCAAGCCGGAGGAGCCCATGACTCCTGAGTCTACCGCAGACGAAGACTCGAACGAGAAAGAGGATGCTAAGCAAGCTGAAGAACCTGAATCCAAGGCCGATGACAAGGGAGTTGAAGCAGATGCCGAAGAAGAGGAGGAGGAAGAGCAAGACATCGAGAGCGAAGACGAAACCGACGTCGAAAGCGTCGGCACCCTCGCCACCCTCGCCGACCGCGAACTCTGGATCCACGTAGACAACTACACCGGCACCGTCCCCTCCGACAGCGACTCCGATAACGAATCCACCTCTTCTTCTTCCTCATCCACTTCCGAAGCCGAGAAAGATCCCTGGAACGCCGTCGTAGTAGCCGGCATCCGCATCTTCCACAGAGGCCTCGGCGAAGGCGAAGAAGACAGCGACATCAATCTCAAAGTGATCCGACCAATTCCTTTTGGAAAGGATAATGATGAGGTTGATGTTGAGAAGAAGTGCAGTACCAAAGTGTTGGATGTTGATGATAGTGCGAAGGATGCTACGCTTGTGGGGGATGCGAATGAGAAGATTCGGTTTATCAAGGGGGATGGGGGGAAGAGAAGGACTGCTACTTCTTTGTTCTGATTAAGATATGAATGATTTGGATAGGTTATGATAGCGAATGAAATGGATTCAGTACTGAGAATGTACGTTGAGGTGATGGTGAAGTATCAACATGTGGCGTGCCAAGTTAAGCTTGAATATACGCTTACCTCTTCAGGACCATAAGGCTGAAACTCAAACGAAGATAACTCTTCATATATAAGACATGAGCTATTGAGACGATTTGAAGGCTACTTTGCCTCCTTATTTCTCATCTGGCACTTATCGAGAGGTCCGATGATTGTTTTGTGAGACACCTCTACCCCCGCCACCTAGACACATTTTTCACCAAGTCTGAGAAGAGACATGATAGAGGTCACCTATCAATTGGTGCTCATATCAATTCACTCTTGCCTTTCTTCTTCTCATGAAGGAAGAACTTTGAGAAGTCAATCCCGTCATCTTTCTTAAGCTTATGTGCTTTACCCTCGAAAGCGTCCTTGATCATCGTCTAAGCCACGATAGTGGACAACACTAATAAGACGGGGGGCCAAACATCTCAAAATAGCTCCCTCGAATTCTCACCTCTACACATACAACAACCGTAATAAACTCTCCGAAATTATGCTGAAGCATCATCAACAGACAATCAGTTCATCTTGGTAGCACGCGACGCAAAGCCTTGGCATGCTGACAGTAGGGAGTAAGTGATAAGGGTGCCAAAAATAACTAGTGTAAAGACCTACTAAACTTGCCCAAGTTTATCCTAAGCTTTTTTATCACTTAGGATCTTGCCTCCCCTTGCCATGTAATAAAAAAGGACCATCTGTGGATCCTGTCAGCAACGTCTGATCCACATTTTAGGGAATCAGAGGCGAGGTGCAGCAGTTACACAGCCCTACTGTGGTTGTCCGGGAGAGAAGCATGAACTCTTGGACTCTGTTTGCGAGGTTGGTAACTCTTCAATTGAAGCGCTCATCATGATATAACGACGTTGAGATGTGAAACATGGGCCGTTCTTTGACATGGCTGATATGCCGAGCTAAGATAAGATCTGCAGCCATGATTCGCATTGCATTGCATTGCATTCATCTGGGACATTTTGAGAGAACGGTATCACAACCGAAGACATAAGAATTAGAGACTATTTTTACAGAGAGCTATAGAGACTCAGAGCCATGCTGTAAACGAGCCCTGCGATCGATCGTAACTTATCCACTCAGACTTCAGTCAGCCTTACTGCAGCTAAGCTATATATCCTTGTATAGTAAATTGGGTCTCCATCAGCAATCCTTCTTGACCAACAGTCTTGGCAAGTTCTTGTTCTCGGGTGCGTAGACGAGGAAAAAAGATCTCGACTCTTCTCTACCAAATATTAGCTACTGGCAACTAGTCGGCGTATTGACACAACCGCGCACGTACATATCCGCAATCAAAATCATCGGTCTCTGTCGATCTGAAACTTGGTCTCTCTTTGTGTCTTACATCCCTTCTCTATACCGCTTGCGCCACCCTTCGCCCAGCGATCCCTGCAGAAGGAATTGACCAACACGCATCACAATCTGACAGGATTTAGCATGGGTCCTACATCCCAGCTTCGTCAATTCTACATTCCCCTTCCGTAAACAAAAACAAGGAAAAGGAACCTTCTCAACATGGCTGAGTCTTCGCAACCAGAAGACATACACACTCGCAAACCCTCCGGTATAAATATATTCGGAATCACTGGCAGCGGTTACCATCATCTAATGCCACACGAAATGGCCGATCTTCACCACTCCGGCGTTCCCTCGCCGGAAGCAACTCAGACAAAAATGAGCAGTCCTCCCGAGACACCGCATTCCTTTCATAACCTGCTTGGCGGTCACCCAGCCGGGAGTTCTTCTTCTAGTCCGCGAGCTGCTGATTCCCAGGGAACTCCTGAGCCGTACTCTGAGATCTGGGCTCCGTCTATGCCGCGTGGTGATGAGAAGAAGGATATGCCTAGGACTATGGAGCGAGAAGTTAAATTGAGTGAGGGAGGAAAACTTCCTAAGATTGTGGAACCGAGGGGGGATGCTATGGATGATGAATTCGATGATGAGATTTTTTACAAGAAGTTTGGTAAGTTTCTCATTTTGTTGTTGGAATATGAAGCTTACTTGAATAGCTGAGCCTCCAAAGGGCTGCTCAACAACACGAGATATTCACCAACCTAGATCAAGTTGGCTCTCAATTACTATCTACGTTCTCTCAGTCTACTCAACAGTCGGCAGTGGAATCTGGCTCGTCACAGCCATTCTCCAACCACGATGGGGACACAAAATCGCCTCCGGAGCATCCCTCTCACCATCAACAGCAACGACCCTCGCAGCATTACTAGCAAAGACCATCGAAATGTCCTTCGTCACTGTCTTCGTCTCATGCTTGGGTCAAGTTCTCACACGACGAGCGTTTATTCGAAAAGCGCATGGGATGTCACTTGCTGAGATGACGATGAGGAATTGGGTTATTCAGCCTGGATCTTTGATCACTCACTTCGAAACACTGCCTTCTTCGTCGTTGACGCTTCTTGGAATGTTGTCGCTTACTGCTACGATTGCAGCTGCGTTTTACACCACTGCTTCTGACGCGATGGTTTCGCCGAAACTCAAGTCTGGGAGTTGGGAGCATAAGGAACTTGCGGGTTACGTGCGCGCATCGTATGCTAATGCAGCTTATGTGCGTGAGGACTGTCCGTATCTTTTCAACATCACCGAAGACATCCACGCCGCCGAGTCGTGCATGAACGTTCAATTCTCAGGACAATCTTACAGGAATTTACTCAACTATATGAACATGTGGACAAACCTCAACCAAAACGGAACCGAAATCTCATCAGATTTAAAGAAGCGACCCGGTGGAACTACACTTCTCTTCGACAACACTACGATGTACTCGTCCTGGATCGAGACCGAACACGGCGATGTTGAAGCGCAGTTTGAGGAAACAGGCCGTATTATTAATAATGTCACTCTCGCCCTTCCTCACCCCGGCGTTTACGGTGCTTCAACTCTCAAAGCGAACGGAATTCTTCAACCTGACGATCTTGCTGGAGTTGGAGAATATACTGTTCGAGCTGGAGTTGTCTCGCCATCTGTTAACGTTCTATGTGTCGATATGGATAAGAAAGAGCTCGCGCCTCTTGTTTATACGACATGGCCGAATGCCAAAGTTAACAACACTGATATTCCTGGCCAAAAGACGGGATGGCCTGGTTGGACGGGTGGAGTTCCTCAGCCAATTGATGGAAAGAACAAGAACTATTATCTCAACCGGACTGTTGTGGACGATGTCTTCAGATGGGGACCTAAGTACGAGCGTCGGCCTCCTGTCTTCCAGATGGTAAGTCATCCACATATACTTGAGAGTCATAGCTAACCTATCACAGTACCCCTTTGACTTCAACCTCCTCACCAACGCAACCGTCTACGCAGCAGACGCCATCTACACCCTCGGCAAATCAGCCGAGAGCAAGAACTACACCGTCTGTCAGCTTCGATCATGGGTATCTCCCAATTGTTCCACCGAGTTCAACATCTCCGGTATCGCTGGTGCCAGCATGAAAGCTCACTGCGAAGACGACGCCGACGAAAACGCTTATCGACGATCATTCCCTTCAGACCAAGGCTGGTCTGCTCCCTCTCTGGACTGGAAGGTAAGTTTCTCCCCATATCTTGTATGAACAAGACTGACAACAATAGTGGCTCGCTGATCAATGGCGACTATCTATGGATCTCAACGGTGGTGCTGTTAACAACAATGCTTCCAACGCTCGTATCCTCACTCAACTCGCCCTTCACGAACCAAAGATGCCTGCTTCTTATCCCTCACTCGCTGAAGCTCTCGCCGTGTATTCCAGCTCTCTCATCATGATCAGTTCCATTGACACGCCTTTCCGTCATTACTGGGATCAGGACCCAAAAGCCTATCCTGAAAACGTCATCCCAGCACCTGGCTTTTCCCAAGCCTTCAATGCATCTCTCATCACACAAGAATACACATCCGGACACACACAACCATGGCAGAACATCTTTTACGTCGTTCTCGTTCTCGTCTTCGCCATAAACTTATTCTGTCTCGGCTACTTCATCATGCGCTCCGGACTAGTAACAGACTTCACAGAGCCGCAGAACTTATTCTCCCTGGCGATCAACAGTCCGCCTAGCAATTCTTTCCACGGCAGCTGTGGTGGAGGCCCTGAGAAGAGACATCTTGTTGTTCCGTGGAAGGTTGCGTATGCGCCGAGTGCGAACCATTATTTCTTCCAGGATAATTCGAGTGGAAAGGAGACGTCTGAGGGGCTGAGTACGGCGAGGGAGTATGGAGAACCGAGGGTGAGCAGTTACAAGAGACTTAGCATGAGTAGGACTTGGCTATAGATGGATCTGCGTGTGTCGTTGGATTGTATAAGCAAGCGTTCCAAAATGCATGGTTGGGGAGTTGTCGTATTCAGCTGGGGGTCGATACCACTACCCCATATACGTACATATACATATATTAGAACATAATCAGATACTTCTTCAAAATACCTTGGCCTGTCATTTCTTACACGGTGACTGCATATCAGCTGGATGTTCAGTATCAGCAGCCACTGGTCAAAGACTTCTCAGTCGGTCAAAATATAAACATGGTCTTACACATATCCATTTATTCACTTGCCAGAGGAAGGTAAGTCCTGACCAGTTTGCTTCCGGGCCGATTTTGATTCCAGGTTGCTATTGACACTAAGCATTTCCAAACGCCAGTAATTCACCTTTACTGGCTTTCAGCATATCACCAGCAAACAGTGCAAGCACTCCAGGCACTCTCTTAAGAAAATTCTCTTTCAACACGCATCACAAATGTAAGTCTTGATTCTTGCTTCTCTCCTCTTTCTTTCAGTTTTGTTTTCTCCTGAAAAAGCCCTCTTACTCTTAGGGTAGAGTAAACGCAAGGGGGTAGTATCGCATCGGGATTGCTATCTGCAAGCGGCGGTAAATACGTTACCTTTCTTTTCTTACTTTTTCCTAAACTTGATACTAATCTTGAATACTTCTTATAGACCTTTTATATTTGCTATTCGCTCTTGTATCTGAGATTTGGCTGATACTATGGCGTCTTACCGTCCTGCGGCTGAGGTTGAATACACCCTCCCCCTCGTATTTCCTGTCGAGGATGGACAGTGTGGTGATCTCGATCAGCGCAATGAGCAGATAGTAAAGGTCCGGGCTGCTTTCGAGTAGGCGAAAAAGACCATGTCCCAGCAAGCTATCGCTCAGCTTTACGACTACCTGCGAAAGGGTACATGGATTCACCACGGTGAGCGTGCCAGCACCCACACCGCGTATAGACACTTCATGGGGAAGGGCAGTTATAACAAAGGCATTCCATCACTATACTACCCCGAGTTTTTTGCCATCCAGGCAATTTTCCCCCAAGACCCCAATGACAAGGATATGCATAAAGCAGTTCAGCAGCTCTATGAAACAGTGTCTAGCCACTGGAGTATAAAGGCTACTCCAGGTATCCCTTTCTTCCCTCGTCTCGAAGACTCTGAGCGAGAACTTCGACTTATTCTCGGCAACCACCCTGTCCGATCTAAGCTGGTGGGAACATCTATCCCTCACCCCTCCCTCGCTACGCCCCTTGTCTCCAGACAACCCCCCAGACCCGAAGCACAAAACTCGAGCTTCCAAAGCGCCCCAAACACCTCCAGCAACAGTAGCGGGCCTGTAGCAAACTCCCCCAGTGGTATGAGCCCACACTTGGCCGGTATCAATATGAAGTTCATGGAATATGACCGACGTGTTGCGGACCTCGAGCGCATGCTCAAAGAGAAAAAGGAAGAGGTCAAGGACAAAGACTTCCAAATGAACAGCCTCGGGTACAAGCAACGATTCGAGCACGCGCAGCAACAGCTCCAGGAAACCCAGCAAGAGCTCCAAGACATGCAGCACCGGTACTGCGAGTCCCAGATGCTTCTTAGGAAGTACCAAGAGAAGGCACATATGGAGGCGTAATGACTTATGAGTTTAGTCGCAGAAGAGCTGCGCATGAAGACACTAATGATGTATGAGTGTTGTTCATTATAATTCCTAATAAACCAGAGATAATACGTATATTCTCTAAATGATCATGACATCATGTTGCTTATAGATAGATCTATACATGTCGTTGGACTATATAAGCAAGTGTTCCAAAAATGCATGGCTGTGGAATTGTCATTTCGTTGGGGGACTGACATAGAACTTTACATCTGAGTACATATTCATATTCTATCATTACATCTGTCCAGGGGGGTACTTGTAATTCTCTGCTGCCGGCAAGTAACTGAGAAAGGCTTTAATCAGCCTTAGACTATCACTTATGCAGCACTGGCAAGCTCTGCAACCTTTTAGGCAACCAACCCGTCATATTCTCTCGCATTACGCTCAATACCGCGTTTCTCGATATTAGGTCCTCTCTCTTTATTTTCCTCCTCATGAAGAGAAATTTATCTCACATTTTCCTAGCCAGGCTACAAAGGTTGGCACTGCTTTACCCTCAACATCCCTCCGCTTTCACTTGTGAGTTCGTCTCATCTTTCTCCTTTCTTCCAGCTAACTCTGGTTCAGCTTTTTGGAAGACCATGTCTGCTCCTCCGGCAGACACTCAACCCCCAGATGCCATGTCGCGTCGCGTACCTTTATCCGAGTCTGTTTCTGAGTGCGGCCACGATTTGGATCTCAATATGTTCAGAACAAAATGGGAAAACTGCAACGACGATCGCAAGAGAAGATGGCGCAGAACCCAGGTCTATAACGTCCTGAAATCTTTCGGAAAAGCCAAGAGCGTCATGTCGGATCGAGCAATCCATGAGCTGTGCGAGTATCTAAAGAGAGGCAAATGGAACAGCACTGCAAGAAATGCCAGTGGACATCCTTGCTACAAGCATTTCAAGGGCACATCGCCATATCCCTCGCCCTTCTCTGGACCATACTATCCCTACTTCTTTATCATTCAGGCTCTGTTTCCGTATAGCGAAGCTCTCAAGGGAATATATCGGGACCTGTCAGACCTGTGGGAGATGGATATCAATCCCACCAGACCCTTCTACCCACGTCTTGCTGACTCCGAGCGAGAGTTCTTTCTCATCATGGGCCAGAGACCCAGTGCTCAGGTCCCGGGTCCCGGACCTCTTACCATGTCGTCCGTGGGCCAGCCTCAGTCTCCTGAAGTTAAAGCTGAGCAGGACAATGATGAAGATTATCATACTCCCAAGCGTACAGCTCAGCCAGAGATGTCTATCAACAACAATGGAGAACAACTCACCAGCATTCGAAGTGACATCGAACAAGGCCCCTCCGAGTTTCAACCTCAGCTTCACAAGGACACCACCGGAAGTTAGGATGTTTCCGATCAACGTCTTCATGAACTGGGAGAAAAAGCGCAGGAAATTCGCCGCCTTGCTATCAAGACACAGAAGCACGCAAATGCTGCTTTCAAGCTCGCAGGCGCCCTCATCGAGGACCTCGGCCCACCTACTGAACATTCCCCTGATGTTATCTCGGAAAAGGAACGACCCAGCAAGCGAGTTCGCGAGAACAAAGATGCCGAAGGACGAGGAAGAAAGTTAATTTTGGTGGAAACCGTGAAGTCCTGTTCAAGGCACAGGATTTCTTTTGGTAGCATCACGGATGCGGCATATCATTAAGGCTGCTCCGGAGGGGAATAGGAGAGCCGCTTATGAGACACAGGAAGATGTATGAAAGTGTTCAGCATAGCTATCAACAATCCAGAGATAACACCAATCGTCTCCGAATGACTGTGATGTCGTGTTGCTTATATGTACTGTAGCTCGATCCATGAAAACTTACATCCTCCACGAAAGGATATTTGAGATGAGACCAAACACTACTCACAACAAACCCAGGGGAGGCAAGAAAATTCAAGATATCTACCTATCCTAAATGACAAAAAGACAGGTAAATTTAGGATAGATTTAGTAGACTCTTAGGCTAGTTATCTTAGCACTTTGGCTTGAAGTCAGAAGTTTTCTTGCTCCCTGAGGCCAGCGCATAACTATTTAGCAACAGCTAAACCTACACAAGCCACATATTAAACATCACACTCTCAATATCGAACAAAACAAAGGGACGTTTTATTGCACCACCTGAGAGACAGTAACTATGATAGTATGTTGATCTTTGACAAATGACACCATGTCAACTCGTAAGACAAAAAAAAAATAACCGCAAATAACCAAACCACCATAAGGGAAAAAGGAAACATGTGGCGTCTGTCTTAACAACAAAAAAGCAAAAAAGACAGCAACAAATAGCGTGGTATGTAATTTTTCGCCGTGAGCTTTAAGGATACACCAGATGAATAAACTTCGACACTTTACACAGATGGGATATCCCCCTCCCCCTTCATCTTTCATCCCCCATCTTTAATAAAATCTCCTGAAACTCTTCCAGGATTTTCCACCCATGTACCCCGTATCCGCGAGCAAAATGACGAAGTGTGTTAAAAACAACAACAAAAAGACAGGAGAGGAAAGAGACGAAGTAGGACAATGGGAAGTTTCCAAAGAAAGAACCATGTCAGTTGTGCCGAACCTGTTTCAGTCAAACACCGCGAAAGCGTCGGTAACATAAACAAAAACAAAAGTGCTCTTTTCCCCTGAAGCCACCACATGAGGGAATTTCACCTCCAGGACCAGATCGCCGAATGACCATGATATAGTTTCCACTCAGAACGCCGTGACAAATGATGCCTGATTAAGTCTGACCCAAGATCGTGTGTGTAATGCCAGCCAACCCAAACCCTCTCGCAAGTCATTAATCTGCTCCTATCTCATCTCCCATTGGGAATGCTTCCGTAAAATTGAAGGCTGAGTTATCACCATCTTGGTCGTGGAGGAACGAATCAAAGTCAAAGTCATTGAGCACGTCACCCGAGTTGAGGGGGTTGGCCAACTCCATGCCGCCGCCATCAAACTGTAGTCAGAGTCAGTATCTGGTTTCACCACTAAGGAGGTTACACGTACCAATGGGCCAAAGCTGTTATCCATGCCCATCATTTGATTGGGGTCGTGCTGAGGAGCTGGTGGCTGAGGAGGAGGAGCAGTTGTTGCGGCTGCGGGAGCATTAGCAGCTGGGCCAGTCGTTTGTTGACCATTCTGACCGGCGTTGCCAGCTTGCCCATTCTTATTGAAGTTGGCAGCATTGGCGTTTTGAATGGGTGTCGCAGGAGCTGGAGTATCCTGCGACTCGTTGTTATCATTTGAAGGAGTTGCACCAGCGTTGTTGAGGTTCTGGTTCTGGTTCGCCTTCTTGTTGGCGGCAGCGCGCTTGAACTTGTCAGTACCTAGAGAGAATAGTTCACCAGTTAGACATACCTTATCCTTAGCGCTCTCCGACTTCTTCTTCTTGGGGGCGGTCTTGTTAGTTTGGCTAGGAGTTGGCGGTGCAGCTGCTGCTTGTTGAGGGGATGCTGTTGTCCTGCTGTTGGCTCCATTTGCGCCAGCAGGTGGTGCCTGGGGAGGAGGCATCGATCGTTGCTGAGGAGTTCCTTGGATCTGAGGACTTTGCTGCTGCATCTGCTGAGGCACCATCTGTCCATTGGGTCCTTGCTGCCATTGCTGGGGATTTCCTTGAGGCCCTTGGCCTGGCTGACCTTGCTGCTGTCGTGCGGCGGCCATCATCTGTTGCTGGTTCATCTGTCCATTGAAAGGTTGACCAGGGTGAGAGCTAGGGGGTCGCATGCCGCCGTTCATCGGAGGTTGGCCTCCCATGTTACCTTCCATCTGCTTGAAGAAGTGAGGTGCCATGTTAGGATCCATCTGGTTGCCCATGAAGTTCATAGCCGGGTTAGGTGAGCCACGGGATTGACCACCCTCGGGGACCGGTGAAGGGATGCCAGAGTTGTTCATCTGAGGTGTGCCACGCTTCATCTGCTCAGCAGGGTTGGGCGAGGCACCTGGTCGCATGGCCTGGGGCGATGTGTCCGGGAACTGGCCGTTGGGTCCAGGAGGACCACCTGGTTGTCCGGGTTGGCCTTCTCGGGGCATGCCATTACCGCCGACGGTATCTTGCTCTTGGCGGGCCATCATGAGTCGCTTCTTGTTCTGCTGCTCTAGAAGCATTAGCTGCATTTGATAGTCTTGGAGGGCATGGTTGCTTCCCCCTCCGTTTTGGGGACCTCCAGGTCCCGCCCGGATGCCGCCTGGGCCTCCCATCTCGCCTGGGTTGTAGAACGCATTGAGAGCGGTTCCATCAGGACCCTGGGCCATCATTGGGGATCCTTGACCTTGAGGAACGGCATTGGGCATCTGCTTGCCTCCCATCTGAGTACCATGGTGTTGCTGCAGGTTCTGCGAGTAGGTCGCGATCGACTTTTGCTGAGCGGCGGGCGGGGCGGCGGCAAAGTTCTGCAGTTGCTGAGGATGTAATGAGTGAGGATTGATGCCATTGGCAAGTAACGTTTGTTGAGCGGCGGCAGTGTTGGGTCCTCCGGGCATCTGCTGGCCTGGCATGCCTTGACCGGGACGGCCATTGGGCATCATGCCGGGCTGGTTAGGGTTGAACGGTGCGCCATCGATGCGCTGTCGCTTGGAAGGCGAGGGAGCGTTCTCCCCAGACGCTGGTGAAGAAGGTCTGTTTTGGCCATCCATACCGGAGGGATCTCGCTGCATCTGGTTCTGCTTGGCCTGCTGTAGCATCATTTGAGGGCTGGATATCACGGTTAGGCGAGGGGCTTGTAATTCGATGAGAAATAAGATGCTCACTTGTTTTGGTTGTTAGCCATGGCAGCGCGGGCAAGGTTGCCCTGCTTCATGTTCATCATGCCGCCGTTCTGCATGTTGCGCATCATTTGATATTGCTGTGTAGCCATATCTGGTCGCATCTGTCGCAGAAGTTCCTGCTGTTGATTCTGCTTTAGCCGGGATTGCTGCTACATTGCCACCGAGGGTCAGCATTGGTCACCAGCCAAAGTGGTTACCAAATGTTAGGGGCATGGCAGTCAATCTGACACCATCATCCATTGAGTGGGTGAGATGCCAGACTGGAGTGCCCTGGGTGGCAGCATGACAGAAAGAAAAAGATGGCTTACCTGAGTATGTTGAACATATTGGTTAATGGTATTGTTTCCGCTCTTGGCGCGCTGCGCGTAGTAAATATCCCAAAAGACGGAGAACCACTCGTAGAGAAAAGAGGTGTCGGAAGCAGGCATGGGAAGCTTTGGCGGCGGCAAGTCTTCAGGAAGTTTGGAGTCGATGTCGTCCTTCGAATCGGTATCCATGGGATCGTCGCCAACACCGTTGATGACATTTCCGTTCTCGTCGCGACGACGGGTCGCGCCATCCTTACTAAGGACATTGACCTGTTGATCGCTGGAAAGGAGAGATCGGGCGCAATCGTACATTCCCATGCGGATAAAGTATTCGTAGATGTAGGTGTTAAGAACGCTGCGTTGGTTATCGTTTGCCTGTTGGCGAGACGCGGCGGCAGCAGCCGCAGCGGCCTGGGGGTTGATGGCGCCGTTGTTCATCATGGGCATGGGGGCACCTCCAACAGGACCACCCATGGGGTTCATGTTGGCCATGTTAACGTTTGGATTCATGGCCATGACAATTCAGAAGTAACCGGAGAGAAGACAGAGAGACGCCTATAGGCTCTGCTGCAGCGACGACAGCAGTCGGGGGCTCGTGTAGCCACGGGGGCGTGCCACCAGGCGGAGCAGCGCTGGATAGCGTCCCAACGTGGACGTGACGGGCAGTGAAGCCAAAGGTCGCGAGCGAAGGGATCACCAGCGAAGGAGACGTGGACGCGGTCCAAGTTGCCAGGCGCGCGGTCGGGCGGGGGACGAGGATCGCGAGAACCACGAGACCAGGAGACGAGAATGGGAGGCGAGCCCGAGTAGAGGGAATTGGAGGATCGTGTCAGGCGTCGGCAATCGGCGGAAAGGGATATCGCAGGAAATCAAAAGTGATAAAAGCGTAGCGTGCACTGCAATGCGATACTACGCGATGCGATAGTCGACCGATAGTCGATGTCGCGGTGATGAGTTGGAGATAAGAAGTATGTAGGATGAATATGGTGTGGTTGGTGTAGGTTGGATTTGGCGGAGTGTCGAGGTAACTGGGAGTGGAAAGTGGGTGCTGGGCTTGTGCTTTCCTGAGGCGATGGCCTCTGCCTCAGTTGCTCCAAGTGTAAAAAAACGAGTGCCTGGGGTCGGGCATTCGCCAGGGGTGGGAGGGTACTTGTGGTTCTGCGGGCAGCTCGAGCAAAGACCAAGTACCTTGGAGAATTCAACGGAACGCCTCCAAAGACGAGCGGGTACCTCCAAATTATATGTAGAGTGCCCTTCTATTCAAGTACCGACAGCAAACGGAAACGATCCAAACGCCAGACGGACGGGAACAGTGGAGGACGGGAGAGACCCAGTATAGATGCAGTAGGTTGATCAACGTCAAACTCTTTTGCAATTATCAAGCGCGAAGGATACTCGTCGCTTGAAGCTTTTCAAAGCAGATGGCACTACGGCCGAGTAGAAATGAGGTGCTTTGTTTGATGGAGGAGAAGAAGGTGTGAGAGTGAGTAAAAGGGAGCAAGACAGAGGTTGTGGGTGAAAAACGTGGTCGGTCCTTGATTTGGGCGGTGGGAATCCCTCCAGTCAGTGAGTGCCAGTAGAAAAGAAAGGAGGACGGACGGTCAAACCTTTCTTCTTCCTTCTTCCCTTTGGCTCGCTCCCTGAAAACTTTATCAATTGATAGAGTCAGTGAATGACGGCGACTTAATCATGTGAATCGTTTCTACTTTTTAGACATTATCAATTTAGCATTGTGATGTAGCTCTCTCCGCATATCAGAATTGGTACCAACAGTGATACGCCTCCGATGGTTAGATGCATGCAATTTACAAGTACAGCAGACCTTGCTCCAAAACGGTAAAACACAAATTACAAGGCTGGCCGTCTGTCAAAAGCTTAGGTTTCCCTGGGACCTGGAGACAGATCCACCAAATTGGATGCCTTGACTCCTTGCAGCTAAAAGAAATCGGGACGGTCGATCATAAGAACGAATGCATATAAGCGAATCCAACCTGAACATTGAAGTCAATTGCAAGACGTTGGAAAACTTCGAGATTCTATCAGAATTCACTATTTTAGTCCCTCATTGTTCTGCGTGATCCTTCAAAGACATTCGACTTGGCCAGAAACTACCGAGACCGGTTTGATGCGCATGGAACACGTACAGAAGGGAGGCTGGCTTCTAACTGGGGTTAAGCACAGGGCTGCCAACATGCCCTGTGAGGCTCAGTAAGCTCAGCACGTCTCAGCGACACTCAGCGGCCTAGACCACAGCTGTAGTGGATGCTCTTCAGGGGCTCTCACCAAGGTTTGCACGTTAGCGGACCCGAATGATCATAGGTCGCGTCACCCCACACACTGGACCCTTGATCTGAGGGACGCGCCCTGGAGCTAGACGGTCATCCTCGCCATTGGCGCGCTGAGTTTGTCGCGTTACACTCTAGTACGTAAATCTCAGACCAAGGTACGTAATTTCTGGTATGGTGCTCAAAATGTCCCCGGTCTTGAGACCTCAGGCATGATATCGGAGACAAAACGGTGACCCTTTTGCCTCAGGCACATGTGTTACCGTCATTCTGGTCTGAGCTTGTACCTCCACTAACAAATACCATCCAACTTGTAAATCGATCGTCTGTCATTTCGCGGGGATTTGACGTTATCAATCTACTAATACCTGCCTCTTGTGGTATGGAGCTTCAACGCTTCATTATCCGGCGGGGTTGAGATATAGCATAAATCGTGATTGTGAATAATTGACATGGAGTTCTTGAATGATAATAGTTCAATGCGTATGATCATGTCGTTTGCTGATTGACTCATGATGTAGTCGGCTTCTGGAAGCTGAGAGAAATTAAAGCTAACATCCATGATGCTTCTTTATAGTAAATGAGGATCTGTTTGTCTTGTACTCTCGCTTTCATTTGTTACTGTGGTTCCCTTAATAAAACAAACTTCAGTTCGCAATATATATTAACTCAAACTTTCGTTGCCCAGTAACCTCAATGCAAATTGTTTCATCATAATATTCTGGCTCTATGGCGTGAGCTCAATTAATCGGCATTTCCAGCTTAGCACGTGGCTGACAGCTGTCTTCCATGGGTATCTACACGTGCCATGATCCCAAGCCAACTCTCGCAAGATTGGTAAAACGGAGTTTGTTCCGTAAGAAAGTTTGCTTCCATGCCAACCGTCCTGATCGGCACAATATCGCCGTATATGCCGTCAATGATCATTTGGGGGCATCCCCCCCTGAATATCTAGAATTTCTCGTAACCATCCATCCATCTGTGTCCTGGCAATTATTCAATCGTCGTCACATTCATGACTCCCCCTCTTGTGTCTCTCAGTCATCCTCAGGGGGCAGTTCATCGTCGATGTATCGGATTAGCGATACCCTCATCTCTGTGCTGTCGTTGCCCCGCAACACGTCACTGACGAAGTGAGCTTCAACTTGCATTTGCACCATCTCGAGTGCACCTCGTAGCACTCCACACAGAATGTTGGAGTACCAAAGTTGATCTTGCGCTCGACCATCGTCGGGGAGCTCAACAAAGTCGGCCAATGGGTTCTCTTCAAATACCAGAGAGAACTGATCATTTTCGCTTGTCCAATTCATCACTTGAGGAGTAATGTTGAGGAATATCTTGAATCCAACCTGGTTCTCTCGTTAGTCACTGTCTAACGCTACGCAAGAAGTCTCCCTACCCTGGATATCATCTCTGCCGTCTCGCGGAAGTTGGCGCATCGCTTCATGGTGTTGGACTTGGCCAGATAGTCTTCAATAAGTCGCAGACCAATGTTGTAGCCCATCTTGTCGAGTTGCTTGTTCACCTCGGCATAGTCACTCTCGTAGTCCTTGCATAATTGTGCGACGATAGTTCCGTAAGTCAAAGTGACGAGCTCAGCGTTGACCTTGTCGATTCGAGTTCTGTTGTTCTGTTAGAGAGGGGTTTCGTTGTGGACTCATGCGGCCGTCGCTTACTTCCAGATTCTAGAACTAGATTAGTATTCGACAGTAATTTGGTGACCGAACTAGGTATCATGATGAACTTACTCCTCGCCTACGCGGGACGCTTTGTTGGCCGCCATTACTGCGGCTGTGAGGGAGGGGCTGTGGAAGAGTTTAAGGACAGCGACCGAGCTCTGCAATCAACAAGACGTTGGCGCAGGGTCAAAAGATCGTAGAAATGGAATAGACTCCAATATCATACGCAAGCAGAGCTATGCAATGTAGCTTGAACCAGGGAGGTGAAGCAGTAGCGCCAACACCGCCCTGGAACGTCGGTGCACGGAAGGTTGAAACACCGACCTCAGGAACAATCTTCGGCCCGGCCACCAATCATTTGCAGGAGCTTGATTTACTTTGCATGAAGCCCACCACCATCGTCAAAAGTGAAGCAACAGGAAGCTCCAAGCTCATTTAACAGCTCCAGAACTCGACAGAAATTTGGCGCATTCGCATAAATAGCGTCGCATATAATTGTTCTTTCTCTTGATACCCTTTCAACTTCGCCATGTCCGCCGAGAAACGTCCCGCCGATGGAGATCCCAGCTCTTCTCAGTCGCTGGTGAAGCGACAGAATGTCAACTCTTCTACAGGTGCTCTTGCGCGTCTGAACGCGTCAAGCAATGCATTGGTGCAATCTGTATGTTTTAGACTGTTTAGTTGTTGAGTTCTCCGGACTGACTGGTGTAGGCGCCGAGAACAAGCGGGCTTCAAGCTCCTGTCATGGAACTGTCAGGACACTCAGGCGAGATTTTTGCAGCAAAGTTCGATCCTACAGGCAACCTGATTGCATCTGGTGGAATGGATAGATCTCTAAGTGAATAGGGGACAGTGCTTCATGGGTGACAACGGACTGACTTTGGTAGTGCTCTGGAGAACATACGGCGATTGCGAAAACTACGGAATATTGAATGGTCATCGAGGTGCCATTCTGGACTTACAATGGTCACGCGACTCGGAAATTCTATATAGTGCATCGGCCGACATGCACCTTGCGAGCTGGGATTTGACATCAGGCACACGAATCCGCAGATACGTTGGGCATGAGGAGGTTATCAACACGGTGGGCATCAGTAGACGAGGAGAGGAGATGCTTGTCAGTGGTAGCGACGACTCAACAATCGGAATCTGGGACCCCCGATCGAAGAACGCCGTCGACTATATCCAGACCGAGTTCCCTGTTACAGCCATTGCTGTATCCGAGGCTGGTAACGAGATATACGCAGGCGGCATCGACAACGATATTCGAGTATGGGACTTGAGAAAGAAGTCGGTAATATACTCGATGCTGGGCCATTCAGACACCATCACCTCATTGAGGGTTTCACCAGATTCTCAATCGCTTGTCTCATACGCTATGGACTCTACAGTTCGAACATGGGATATCCGACCTTTTGCGCCAACAGAACGACACATCCGAACCTTTGACGGTGCGACAATGGGCATGGAGAAGAATCTTCTCGGAGCAAGCTGGGACTCAGAAGGCAAGAGAATTGCAGCAGCATCAGGCGATGGAACAGTCATGGTCTGGTCAAGCGAGACAGGCAAGCTCGCTTACAAGCTGCCCGGTCACAAGGGCACAGTCAACTGTGCAGAGTTCTCGCCAAACAAGGAGCCTATTCGTAAGTATTCTGCTGATCATTTTCGAGGCGGTGAACTAACAAGTTACAGTACTTTCTGCATCGTCAGACCGCACAATGCTTCTTGGCGAGTTGAAATGAGGAGAATAAGTAATAACCCGATATTCTAATCTACTACCCGTACGCTCCCTGGCATATTGGTTCACAAGATGCGCGCTCCCGTGTCAGGGCTCAGTATTCTGGTAACTTTTACGCCATCGAAGCTTGCCTCTGAGGGCGTAACAAGGGAAGCTCATCACCCTCACCATGGCTGAATAGTGTAGCCGTTAGGATGACGCAGGGAGCTTTGTGTAACTCTCTCCGATATTGCCAGGGAGCATGAATATTCAATCTGGGGAAGCTCTGGAGACGGCTAGAAAAGCGGATTACAGCATGTACAAAGTTGGTGAAATAACATTGGGAAGGGTGGAGGAGGCGTTTATGGCTTGTATCAAAAGATGAGACATGAGCTAGGGGGTACGCATACATAGATGTTTATGCTATATGTGCAAATAGTCGATTAATAGTAAGCCCTTGAAGAAACAAACCACATCAAACACGATCAAAACTTAAGGGATGGAGTATCTTCCAATGAAGTTAGTTGTATGTAACCCTTCCTCAGACATTATCCAATTATCGTGAGGTTGCGGCTGCATAAAGCCAGAATACTTGAGTTTCAGGTGCAAACCCCTGGTTGGCTGCGAGGCGCTCCAAGCAAAATGCGGCGTGCTTCAACCCGAGACGTTCAGATGCAACAAGACAAAAAGTCTCTGAAACTTATATGTTCATGATATAATTGTTATGATTTAAGCATAACATAAAGTAATTGTGAAGATATGTGATAACATCATCTTGAGATGATGGTCGACAGTAGACCCAAGTGGTCAGCCGCATATCGACTAGCTTTGAAGCTGGTTACCCCTGGATAGAGCTCGGACTGGGTAGTAATTTGTAGATCTCCACCTCCCACGTTTTTCCAACACGCACGGGACGTCCAATCCATCTTGCCAGAGCAGTTTATCAACTGTAGCAGGTTAATTTCGTAGAAGCCAACCAAATTCGTCGCCGCAAACAGCTGTAATCACATTCTCAATCCCTGCTGTTTACTTTTCAGCAGCTGAACTTGTTCCTCCTTGCAGAGGGGATCGTTTGGGTATCCCTGACGCGGTTTGTCCCTTTCGGAGGACCCGTAGGCTAAGGTTTATGAACATGGGTCTTTGAACCTTTCAGTTCAATCAAGGGGTCGAAAAAGGGAACCTCGTGTGAAAACGACAAGACAAACGACGGGCCATCTGCCCACTAACATAATTAGATCATGACTGAAGCCGGGGCCATTTTCTGGTTTATCGAAACTTGACCCTCTTTTTTATTGTCTCTTGTCGCTGTCTTCGTTCGTCCCTTTTGCGGTTTTGTCTCAAAAAGTCAAGACAGGTTCTTGAACCCTTTTGTTCTTTGTTTGCTTGTCTTGTTTCTTCTCTACTAATAATGACCGAGATGGTACAAGTTTTCATGTTGAGCGTGTAGTTTTATCGTATGTTCTTTTTATGTTCTCTCGCGGACTTTGTTGAAAATTCACGATAGCGCCGCCTTAGTCGCTTTTACCTGAGTCGTAACGATCTATATACTGCCTCGGGTGCCCCCGTCGAAATATGGACATGGACCGTTCTGACATGGAGAGGCTTCGTGCTGACCTCATACAACGATCACGAATGGAGCGAGGTGGTATTCCGACTGGAGGCGATGTCAACCTCGACGTCAATGTTGATGTCGAAGCTCAACACAGTATACAAGAACCTCGTTCGAGTCCTGCTCCCCTGTCGCGGTTGTTGAGTCGGAGAGAACCTGCTTCAATGACGGGACAATCCCAGCTCGCCGAAATCGAGAGCGTTAAGTCTCAAGACTCCAATACGAATCGACCTGCTGGTTCTCGAAGATTTGCTGTACCAGGCTTCTTGCGAATATGGGAACGTAACAACACCACACCACAATCCAACGATATTCGCAATGCTACAGCTTCTCCCGCGCCGCTTCTTCCTATTGCTGAACCTCTATCGCCGACGAGACCGGAGCCTGTCGCTACACCCTCAGAATCGCATCGATCGCGACGTCAAAGACGGCAACGAAGCCCTCCTCTCGACCCATTGGAAGCGCATCTCTCTGAAATCCTGGGCGGATCAACTATTAGACGACATCGAAGACGGAGGGAATATCATGAAAGAGAACGCGATCGCCATAGATCGCGAAGAAGTCATCAGCGACATCCCAGGTTCTTCCTGGGCTGTATACCATGGGTTCGATCGAGGCGCATGAGAGCACAGATCCTTAGGTGTTTAACTTCAGGTCTGTTTCTTGTAATTCTCGTCACTGTCTGTAAGTCATGACCCAATCGTGTTGCCTGTGTAATTGCGATATTGATCAGTAATAGACCTTTCCCTATCAATGACACACAAGGTCAACACTCGCGAAATGAACATCATGCTCATTCTTGTTGTGTTATTCGCCGCAGCCTTCTTCTTCCACGGTCTTATTAGACTGTGTCTCCTAATAATAAAAGGTAATCGCGAAGCCGCTGAGCGAGCAAATCGACCTCCTCGATATCGTGCGCCTCGATACGCCGTACCTCCTGTCCCCATTCCTGTTGTTCTTGCGCAGGATGAAGAAGCTGTTGGTGTGGAGAGCGAAGCGACAAAGACACAACCCCCAGCCTATGGTCGTTGGCGTGAGACAGTGGTATGTATTGAATTTGTTACCATTGACATAACTGCGCTAACACTTTGCAGCGAGTTGATCCAGATCGCTTGTTCTGGCAGCGCAATGAGGCCGTGGATCTTTCTCAAATACGACCTAATACTCGAGCTGGTCCTAGGCCACCGTCGTATGTGTCTGAGGATGGTATATCATATGTAGTCGAGGCGCAACCTCGATCAACAGCACCAACAACGGAAGTGCCTCTACCTCTACACCCATCAGAGCTTGGTAGAGTGGCCAGGGTACCAACCGAGTAGGAAACGTAAAGGGATAATCTTACAGCGCATTATAGCGAGCAATATGCATGGTTTATATGAAAGCGAAGACACATTTGAAGATCCAGAGCCTCTCTTCAGAGGCATTGTTAAATTCAGCGTACATGAGTATCTGCAGCATTGATATCACATATTAGCGAAGTTTTACAGAGTATTGCCATTGAGAGGAAGTTAGAGGTTTAGACTATGAGATACCAAATAGGAAAAGGCAATACTACAGACTTGTTCTCAGTTAAAGTTGCTCGTGTTGGCCTATCGGTAATTGGAGACCCAGTCACGGTGTTACTCAACAGGTGAAAGTCGAGCAATTCCGCGATCAGGCTATCTCTCTTTTTTGAGCAGGGAGTAATTATCTCGCGGCGAGTCTCGGAAGAGGCGTGGAGTTGCCATGGCCGGGGTTTGACATCACGCGGTTATATCCCCTGCCAACTGCGTCTGCGCCTAGAAATCAGAACTTCTCAAAATAAGGGTTCAATAACTTCAGCTTTGAAAAGACTGTCGTAGAGATGGCATTCTGTTGAAGCCATCTGCGTTCTCGGTTTGCATGATAGGCCAGGCCATTTGGAGAATAAAGGTTGCTTGACTGTATCACGTGAACACTTTAAAGTGAATCAGAGCTTCAACAATTCGCTTGGCAGGCACAGCACGGCCAGATGGGAAATCATCCTTCCTCCCTAGTGAACTCCCATTCTTTCCTAAAGCAGAGAGGTTCGAGTTGAGGTGTGAAAGAGAAAGGTTAGTCCTGATTGGAGCGTGGACTCGACCCCAGTCAGTGGCTTCTTTGCCCTTTGTCCTTTTATTTAGTCCAGCGCGTTTAGAGCGTGTGATGGTCAGCGAGGTTGAAGGGAGAGATTCTTGTTGTATGAGTTGATGAGAATGAGTCGTTCTCATATAGTGACTGAGTTATGCTTGAGCGACTTGATCTGATGTGTACAGTCACAAATCACTCGCTCCGTATCTATTGTATTTATTCAGAGCTCAAGGTTCAGTGAGTGTTACACAGCTTGTCCATTCCGCCGAGGCAATTCAATACCAACTCCATTTCCCCTCCCCCTCCGTCTTAGTCCAAAGTCCTCTTGGCTACTCCCACTTCAGCTCAGTTCAGTTCAGTTCAGGGTGTTGCGCCGCTGAGTGAGCCTGAGTCGAGGTCGCCCCCTCCCCACATCCCAACATCCACAATCATCATAATGGATCCCATTTCCGTTCTGATTCGACTCGTTTGTGGGTGGTAACTTAAGTTAGGCCTCGTTAGTGTCAGTCTTGGGGGTCGGGGTTGTCCAGTCGTATGGTGAAGAAATGGCAGGTAGTGTGTCATTCGCTCCTTGCTGTGTGTGCCCGCGGTTGCTCCCCTCATTTTGAAAATTTTTTAATCAAAAAATTATTCCCCATTTCCCATTTCATTTAGGACAAAACAAAGAACCATACATAACAAATACAATTTCTCTTGGTGTTGAAGTGCCCTTTTTCGGAGTCTCAATACCTATTCATATTTTTGTTCTACAAAATCCACTTATTGGATCATCATTATTTTTTACCTTGCCATTTTCTTACTCTACCTACCCATCAAGTTCCCTCCGAGTCCATAAAGGTATGTTGATGCTAAAAGCGTGGTTTTTTGCGTTGCGTTGCTGCATTGCGGTTTTTGGTCTTGTGCTGCTGCTCTGTGTTGCTGCCCCTCCTTTGCGTGACAACAACCGCCCATAATCGAGACGCCTCGCCTATCGCAAATGTCGAATACTTTTGGCCCCCCGTTTTCGAATTTATCGAATATATTATCAATATCGAATTTTTGTTGCGATTCGAATCTCGTTCCTCGCTTTCAAATCCGTCGATGCAAGAAATCCCTCGTTTGAAGCTTCGGCCTCACAACAACCCGCTTCCAAAAGCCTTCCGTCTTTGGCCTCCGTGTACGACCCGACATTTCGGCGCAAGCTCCGGTCTCCAACGGTCCGTGTCCGAACCATATCGGTTTATATCTCCCGGTTTTCTGGAGAGCTCTGATCTTGGTGTTGCCCCTCGGCATACTCGAAGTGCGGGGTTGACGATCTGGGATTGTCAAAGCTTATCATATGACAAATACCAATAGGACAATCACATTGTCCCGACCTTCAGCAGCGGAGTCGAGTTAAACAAGATCTATGGTAGCCTCAACAACATATGCGCGACTATGAAGCTCATGACGACTTGGAATGCCCCCTCATGTCGCTGTCGACCTTGGGTCCCCCCATGCCTTACAGGGACGCATTCGACCCCAGCCAATGAACATGTTATCATTTCATGTTGGACCAAGGACACGATGGAACATGCTATTACGATCTACCCTGGAGTTGCGATGAAATATTCATACTGGCGACTAGGCGACAGCAGATATCCAGCAGCAGCCCTGCAATGCACACCTGAACGTTGTGTTTAACACGTTACTAACTTTATTGATTCAGACCTATCTTCAAAATGTCTTCCCTCTCTCGACGTGCTTGCTACAAGTGTGGCAATGTTGGCCACTACGCTGAGGTCTGCTCTTCTGCTGAGCGTCTC